TCTGGAAGACCGTGCACAGCAGATGTTGTGACAGATCTACTTCTAAGATACCAGAAAATGCTTGGTACAAACAGCAAGTGTCTTTTGAAGTAAGTACTTGGCTGTGCTTCCCACAACGTGGGGGGAAATCCCGAGAGATCCATGGCCCTAGGGGTGGCTGCTTTGAGAGCTCCAGAACCTCAACAGGAAGCCAGGACTGTGGCTGGCTTCCCTCTGGAATGAAGAGCCCCACGTGTTGTTGCAGGGAGGGGCACTGAGATGCCTCTGCCCCCACGGCTCAGTCACGGCATTGTCACACAGGAGGATAATATGTTTTCATTCTTTTTAAATGTGTATTCTTTATTTAATGTGTTTCACCTGTATCATACAATGCCCTTGGCGGCTAGAAGAGGACATCGGGTCTCCTGGGACTAACGTTACAGGTGGTTGCGATCCACCATGTGGGTGCTGGGAATTGAACCCTGATCCTCTGGAAGAGCAGCCAGTACTTTAAACCACTGAAACACCTCTCCAGTCCCTGATCTTAATTTTCAACGTTTGTTTATTTGTGTGTGGGGCAGGCTTGTGCCATGGTGTGCACCTGGAGATCAGGGGACAGTTCTGGGGAGTCAGTTTTCTTTTTCCACCATATGGAACCCAAATATGGAACTCAGGTGGCCATGCTTGATGGCTAGCACTTTTACTGAATTTTTTTAATATAAAAATACAAAAAATATTCTTTAACAAATTACATGTAAGCCAGGTGGTAGTAGTGTGGACCTTTAATCCCAGCACCTGGGAGGCAAAGACAGGTGGATTTCTGAGTTTGAAGCCAGCCTGGTCCACAGAAAAACCAAAATAAGTATATAAATAAATTACATGTATGCCTATGTATTTGTGTTGGGGTATGTGCACTGAGTGCGGCTGCCCACGGAGGCCTGGAAAGGGCGCTGGGTCACACGGAGCTGGACTTGCAGGTGACTGTGGACTGCCTGACACAGGTAACAGGAACCGAATGTGGATCCTCTGCAAGAGCAGAACGTGCTCTTAATCACCGAGCCAACTCTCCAGCCCCCAAATATTTTATTTTTAAATTGCTTGGCATGGTGGTACACCTTTAATCCCAGCATTCGAGAGGCAGAAACAGGTGAGTCTTCTTTGGGAGTTGAGGCTACCCTGGCCTACATACTAAATTAGTTCCAGGTCAGTCAGAGCTACATAGTAATACCCTATTTCAAGAAATTATTAATTGGGGCTGGAGAGATGGTTCAGAGGTTAAGAACACTGACTGCTCTTTCAGAGGTCCTGAGTTCAATTCCCAGCAACCACATGGTGGCTCACAGCCATCTATAATGAGATCTGGCGCCCTCTTCTGGCATGCAAGCATACATGGAAGGAATGTTGTATACATAATAAATAAATCTTAAAAAAAAAGAAATTACTACTTAAGTCGGGCGGTGGTGGTGCACACCTTTAATTTTAGCACTTGGGAGGCAGAGACAGGCAGATCTCTGTGAGTTCAAGGCCAGCCTGGTCTACAAAGCGATTTCTAGGATAGCTAGGACTGTTATACAGAAAAAAAAAACCCTGTCTCAAAAAACAAACAAACAAATAAAAAATTATTAATTGTGTATACATGTGCCTGTATATGTGAGTACAGGTGTCCTTAGAGGCCAGGAGAAGATGCTGGGTCTCCTGAAGCTGGAGTTACAGGATGTTGTGAGCCAGCGCAGTATGCACTCTCAAATGTTCTGAACCGCTGAGCCTTCTCTCCAGCCCCCAGGGGTCGGGTTTTAGCTTTAACACGTCCCAGAACACCTCTGGGGCTGAGCCTTGGGCAACTCTACACCTGGTAGTGCTGGTCTTCCCTCTTCGTCCCTTGCTGGAGAAAACACTTTCGACGTTGTTCATTGTGGAGCCCCACGCTGGTTCTACTCTAGGTCTACAGCTTTTACATTTGTCTCTATATCAACTGACCCTCTCCCTGCAGGACCCACTGCACTCAGCCTGCTTCCCTGGGTATCATGAAGATCGCAGCTGGGTTTATCACACACGTGTCCCCACGCTTCACCTCACCTGGCCCAGTGTGTCCGCCTAGACAGCTAGATGTTGCCGGGACTAACCCCTGGCTCTAACCCTGTACCCCTGATCTTCCATCTCCTCCCCTACTGTCCTTCCAGAAGCATGTGAGATGAGTTAAGGGGGAGGATCCAGGCCAATGGTGCACACATCCAATGTCTGAAAAGGTGTAAACAAATCAAGAAATTAGAAGAAACCCCAGCCTGCCACACAAGTCTCCGCAAAAGTTCACTAAAAAGGAATATCACCCAGAGAGACACAGAGAAATGGGAGAAGATGAGAAACAATCCCTGTGCCTCAGAAGAGGTTGCAGAACCCCAAACAGAATGGACATAGCTGGACATTCTACAAGTGACCCCATATGCAGTCCCAAGACCTACCACAAGAGGGCGCTCCTTGCACACTCAGGACTCAGCTCTGGGACTGAACGCAGGTGGGTAACAAGGGCAGTTGATAAAGGAGCAAAGAGGAGCAGAGCACACGCCACACATACGGAGTGAAGGTGTTAGAGCAAGACTACCTTAATCTCTGCACTGGAAGTCAGACTCCGAGTGGACAGAGCTGGGTTTGAGTCTCACCCTCGGCTCCATCTCACTCCACAACCCTCCCCGAAAGACCTCCAAGCCTCACCTGCCCTCTCCTGCTTCCTCCAGAGGGATAGCGTTCAACTGTCTAGGCTGAACATTTAAGCCTCCATTCTAGCAGGAAATCATGCTATGTTCCTGCCTGCCTCCTCCATCCTGGTTAGTGAGGTCTGCCTGAGAAATAAAGGCCAGGTCCTGAGTCCAGCAAAGGGCTCACTTGGTTCCTTCCCAGCCTCCTCTTCTGTCTTCCATGTCTTCACGGCTGAGGATCCCAGTGACCCATCCCCTCTGAAGTAAACCTGTCCCAACTTCAGCCTGTCTGCAAGGAGAGATTGTGACTCTCCAGGATCCTTCCATCTGAGTGATCAGCGCACAGCCTACCCCATGGGAAGTCCTGTTGGACTCAGGACATTGGCTACTGGTGATTAAAAAGAGGGAGCTGGAGAGATAAATCAGCAGTTGTTTCCGGCTCTTCCAGAGGACCCGAGTTCAGTTCCTGACACCAAATCAGGCTGCTCACAACTGCACGCAACCCTGGCTCCAGGAGCTCTTTACCCTCTTCTGGTCTCTGTAGCCACCTGCACACACATGCATGCACATGCACATGTGTACACACACACACAAAACCAAAGCAACCCCCCCCCAAAAAAAAAACAAACCCCAATCTTAAATTTAAAAACAGTCACACCAAGGCCCTCTGGGGTGGAGTGCTTCCACAGTAGGTGACAGCTCTGGAGCCAGCCCTGTACCCTGCCCTCCTGGCTCTGCGGTGCTTTCCTCTCCAACTGTGGAGCCTGGAGAGAAGCTCATTAAAATTGTCTCCATCAGTCTTCAAAAATCCAGCTGCTCTAATGGTGACAGCCCTTACTGACCTGTCACCTGATCAGCCAGTGCGTGTCCATCAAGGACAGGCAGAGAACCCCTGACTCTCCCAGGGGCCAAGTCAGCTTGCCCTGTCCCCCACAGCCTATTTGAACTGCTGTCTGTCTGTCCCTTACTCTAGTCTGGACCTGTCCATCTGCTGGTTCTCTTGCCTAGACCCAATCCTGCCCTTTCACCTGCAGTGGCTGCCACGGTGTCCCCAATTTCTGTTTTGTTACCAATGGAGACTCCTGCACCTTCTACTGTCTTTCCAGTTTTGACTTCTCAGGCCTCTTTGTAACTCCTTGTCAGCCCTTTGTGGTTACTCACTGACTTACACACGCACACGTTTGCTGTGTGATGTGTTCTGTGTATTCTGATAGCATTAGTAATTAAGATTGGAATGAAAGAAACTGTGTTTGCTTCGGCTATGCTATCAGGAAAGCGGGATTATCCGGCACATTGTTACTGAAAACGCTAAATCTTGTGAGCTGTTTTCAGTGAATTCTGTTACCACTGAAAAAGCTGTATCTTGTGAGCTGTTCTCAATGAATTCTGACATTGTAGAAAGGCAAATCTGTTCATCTTTGTTTCTGACATAGGGAGCGGCCCGTACTCTACACTTGGTCAGCCAGGCAGAGCACAGCCTGGCAGGAAGAAGGCAAGTCCATGATCCGGGGAGATGTGGCTGCCCTTGGCAGAGGTATAGATGCAGGGGAGAGGGAAGCCCTGAAGGGTTAGCTAGGCAGAGAAAGGGGCCAGATGCCATCCCATATCAGTCCTGACCATGCAGGACCCCACAGGACAAGGTAAGGATGGCTGGCTTCCAGGCTCCATATAAGCAAACTTGGAGAAGCATCCAGGATCCCACCAGAACCCAGGAAGGGAGGGGGGTGGGACAGACGTGAGTAGGAGGTCTGGGAGGCCTTCTCATGTGTTTTCTGCTCTAGACGCCCGCCTTGGTCAGAAGCCATGTTACAGTTCTGCCTACACAGGTCCACTCCCACACGGAGGCATACCCTTTAACCCATGACGGCCATATCCATGACGGAAAGCACTATGACCGAGCATGTCAGAGCATGCTCAGTGGTGACAGTGCTTGTTACCACACCAGGTGGCTCACAACTGCCCGTAACTGTAGCTCCAGACTCTCTGATCCCCTCTTTTGGCCGCTGTGGGCACCCATGCACACACACATAGACACACATTTGTACACAAAAATAAGTTTTCTTGTCTTTAGAATTTTATTCATTTTATTTTTATGTGTATGACTTTTATTTTCTTGCATGCACGTCTATGAGCCACGCTGGCTGCTCTCAGAGAGGACCCAGGTCTAAATCCCAGCCAGCACCTACATGGTGGCTCACAACCATCTGTAACTCTAGTCCCAATGGACTGATGCTCTTCTCTGGCCTCCATGGACATCAGGCATGCATGCGGCACACGGACATACATATAGGCAAGAGATCATACACATAAAATAATAAATCACATTTTAAAAAGCATTTTTGTTTATTTCTATGGCATTAGAATGAACTTCGCTCTCTTCCTGAAAAGTAAACAAACCCCGGCTCCAGCAGGGCAGTGGCAGGGTCTCCGGTTCTGACCACTGGGGATTTGAAATCACAGTAGGGATCTCTAGGGAGGAGGTGCTTCTGTAAAGGCGATGGCTCTTCCAACCGCTCCTAGATGCAGTCTTTCGGGCCCTGCTGTTCTTTCCTCTCGAGCTGCAGAACCTGGAGAGAGAAGCCCATCAGAACTGTCCCCATCACCCTTCAAACAACCTACTGCTGAAACTACCCAGGGACTGAGTGCAGAGGGTACCAGGGAAAGGCTTGGCCTGGGAGTGCCTGGTGGCCACCGTGGATGGTGAGATTTCGGGTGCTTCTATATCTGCCCACCACAAGGACACACAGCATCAAAATCCCTGGCTGATCTGTCAGGACTGCTGCCAGTTGGGAGTTAAGTGACCAAGCCCTTACTATCACTGAAGAAGCCAGAACTCGGTGAGGAGAGATAACAGCAGCTGAGAACACTGCTGCTCCTCTCGGGGACCTGAGTTCGGTTCCCAGGACCGGTGTCAAGCGGATCACAATGGGATCAATAGGCACTTTACTCACGTGTACATATCCACACACATAGATTCCCCCCCCCCCCACATAGTTACCAAGAACAACAATAAACTAAACATCAGAGCTGATGCAGCTCCCACCTTCTGCCCTTGATGGCCACACTGTTCCATTCCTGTGACTCAGTGACAGCGGGATTCAGGGACAAAGCATGTGGGTAACAGCTACACAGGGTGCAGGCTCAGCCTGGCCAGAGGGGACACAGGACAACAGCATCCTGACCCACATCTCAGCTTCCTAGTGGTCACTGCCTACTTCCCAGGGGCTACTCTACCTCCTACTGACCTCCACTGAGTCTTGTGAGTTACTGGGGGTGGGGTCGTTCCTAAAGTCAGCTGGATAGTCACTTCCTTGCAAGAGGAAGCACAGAGGGTTTTCCATCCCCACACCAACTTTCTTTGACCTGGGCACTGCTGACCAAAGGGACCAGATGACCCTCTTAGGGGCAGGGGACCACCTGCCTTCTCTTCTGGATGTCAGAAGCACTAACTCCAGCTCAGCCAAGAAGACCTTGCTGGGCACCTAACAATACGGAGGTGGCAAGTACACCTTGCACCCTCAAAGTGCACACCAGCTGCTCAGGGGTCCTTGCCACAGCAAGAGTTCCTGACAGTTCCTCTGGTCCCTTGGGTTCCATAGCTCAGCAGGGACCTGGCCACTCTGCCATCTTTAATTGTTGTCCCTGTGCTGAGCAGCTGTCTCTGTCCTCAGCAGAACAGAGCTGGGAAGAAGCTGTGTCTAACTTGCCATCCGTGGGTGTCTCCACTGTGGTCTTCAGAAAAGGACAGGGGTGGGGGCTAAGTTTGCTTTAATCAAAGGTGTGGTGCCTTCAGCCTCAGCACTCCAGAGGCAGGGGAGGAGGGACTCTGAGTTTGAAGCCAGTTAGTTTACAAAGCGAGTTCTACAGAGAGTTCTACACAGACAGAATGTCTCTATCTATCTATCTACTATCTACTATCTATCTATCTATCTATCTATCTATCTATCTATCTATCTATCTATCTATCTATCTATCTATCCTGTGTTTGGGCACACCATTAATCCCAGCACTCAGGAGGCAGATACAGGCAGATCTCTGTGAGTTCAAGGTCCTCCTGGTCTACATTGTGAGTTCCAGGACAGCCAGAACTGTCACACAGAGAAATTTTGTCTTGAAAAACCGAACCAAACCAAATCAAATAAATACATATATATTGTTTTAATCAACATCTATAATAAAATAATCCCATGTGGAAGTAAGGACAGTAGCACACCACACCATGCCATTTTTCATATAATAAAAGGTTTTTTTTTTTTTTTTTCCCTCAGGAGAAGCCCCTCGGATGTCTCCCAGGCAGGACACGCACAGCCCTCTGGTAGGACTCACCTGGTCATCAATGTGGCGGAACTGCCAGGGCCAAGCCGTGTTGTACAGAAAGGGTCTCAGGTCAAACCTGTTGTCGTCAGGACTGTAGCTTTCAGCATGATATGCTGGTGTGAGGGTTGTCATCTTGTGCCTGTTCATGGAGTACTTCAAGAAAAACCGCTTCACCTTCTCAGCCACCTGGAGGGCAAGGGACACACGGGCTTCGAGTTAGAAAGGCAGGAAAGACTCGAGGCTGAAGCCCTGCTTTTGGGGGACATAAACAGCCAGCAGGTGCCAGCCCCGCCCCTGGCTTTTCCGAACAGCAGCATGGAGACCTATCAGCTGCGCTGACACTAGCTGAGCTGCCGAACTCTACAGTCCTGGTTCCGACAGCCCAGTGCTGGGCTCCTGGAGGCCTCCAGGTGGGTCTACGGGCACAGTGAGTCCTCTGGCCAGCAGAGACCTAATGCATTCTGAAGCCCCTGCAATGCACCAGCACACCCACACGGCTGGCCCATACTCGGGCTAATTGAGGGCAGCCAGGAATCTCAAGCTCGTGAAGATGACAGGCATAAAGCGTGACTGTGTATGCAATGGGTCACCCAGAGGTGGCGCAGCCTGACGTCATACATGGCTTTACCTGTCTTGGCGTACAGCTATCTTTCCACATGTTGAGCAGTTTGCAGAACATACTGTAGGGCCCGGCCTTGGCGACCTTCCGAAGTCTGCCGAAGACGGAGAGTTCTGAGTATGTCATCCCCATGTCTTCCTGCGGGGACAGAAGTGTGTTCAGAGCACAGTGGGGTGGTGCTGGGAGGGACCCCACAGCCTCTTACAGTTGGGGACCAAATGTTTAGAGAGGCAAGGCAAGCGGGTGCCCAGCCAGGGTTCTTAGAACTCACTGGGTGCCAGGAGATGCCCGTTTGAAAAAATGGCCAAAACCCTGCGAGGCATGGGAGGCAACTGACTACTTCAAGGCTGCTCTGAGGTAGAGAACCTGCGCTTTCCTAGCTTGTCCTCATGCTGCCTCTGACCCACCCTGTCATCCCCTCGTCAGCCCTAACCACGGTGAGAAAGCTAAGTCAGAGTATTTGAGGTTAGGGATTCTGTCGGCCTGAGTGAGCCGGGGTCCCATGGCAGAAAGGATGCTGTGAAGGGACCCAGCGAGAAGGGGAGACACATCCACCATGACAACACCCCCATCATTACCTCATCTGTCTGAGACACCTGCCCGTTGGCTAAGGGCTCCAGCTCTGCAGTGGCCGGTGCTGACAGGATGCTGCAGTAAGACACACCGAGTCAGTCACCAGGGCTGCTAACGGGCTCGCGAGCTCTGGCAGCATATGTCCCTAGACAAACTGCATTTGGGCTGACCATGTCTGGCAGGGCCATGCCTGGGCTCATGGTCCTGGGGCTTCATGACCCAAAGGACGGTAGATCAAGGACAGTAAGGAGGTGAAGAGTGAAGGCCGGGGGCCTCCACTGCAGGACTGTTGGTAGTTGGGGTCAGGACACTTGACAGAGATGGTAGGGTAGGGTAGTTTGACATGCTGCAGGACAGTTGGGAGGATCCCCAGCTGGTGCCTATAAGCTGCCAGGAAGAAACTCTGTGACAACCTAAGGGATCTCCACACATGTCTAAGGTCCCCTGCGGACATGACTAACCCTGTGAGGATAATAGGGGCACAGTTTTCCTGGTACCAGTAGAGATGCTGCAGCAGCCTGACAGGCTGTGGGTATCCACAACAGACACCCCAGAGATCAGGCTCATCAAGTTCCAGCACCAGTCTCTCTGCCTTGAGATGGCAGCAAGAGAAAGGCAGTCTGGGAGGAGCTGTCACTCAAGACACTTAGAACTGTGGGTATGGGAACAGGAGTGGGTGGAGTCATGACCTCATGCTTCCAGCTGAAAGGTGGGGCATAGGGTGGCCTTGGGGGCCCAGGAGCCACAGGAGCACTCACGTCTGCAGAGCTGGAAGCTGGAAGCGCTCAGCGCAGAACTGGACGAAGGCTCTCAGGTCTGTCTTGCTGATGCCGCCTATCGGGTTGATGTCCGCACTGGAGCAGTCATACTTGGTCAGGTAGCCGAGGAGACTGCCAGGGAGAAAGGATGGTGTCTCTATGGTTTCTGGAGTATTAAGGGATCTGGGGTCTACCAGTGCTGGCCAAGGGTTACCTTCTTCCAGGGGCCCAGAATTCAGAGGCCTAGTATAACCCTGGCCCTGGAGGAGGCCAGCAGGGTGACATTGGGTACCCTGTATGGATATCTATTTTGGCTCAGAATGCTTGGGTACCACCAACAGCCTACTGGGAACAGCTTGTCTAGAAGGCCAGGGTCAGATAGGTGGAGCTGACAGAGGCCTCAGAAGGGGAGGCAGGAGCTTGCACAAGTGTACCCTCAGTCCGCTATAAAACTCTGATATACAGCTTTAGCTCTGTGACCTCTCATGGTGACAAGGGCCCTGAAGATGGACTGAGGACCCCACACAGAGATGGACGAGGATTACAGGGTGGGTTTGAGGAACAGCCCTAAGTCTCCTCAAAGGAAATAAGAATTAGAGTCAAGGCCAAAGGGCGCCATCAAGATGCTGATGGCTATGAGGATACAGGGAGGGTTGGGCTGGTGGTGGGTGTGGGGAGAGCCTGCAGAGGCCTGGGGGAGAGCTTGGAGCAGCTGCCCTGCAGTGAGAACAACTCAGGGCGCACACACCTTCCAACCCTGCCCACCCGCCACAGCTCTGCCACAGGCCACTGCATTCCCATCCTGTTCACACACGAATTCTTGCTAAATTGGCCAATAGTGACGAATGTTCTGGCGTCAGTAAGTGTCTTTGGGTAGAGGAGAGGGATGATGAAACTGGTGGGACTCAGACTGCCACCAGCAGAGACACGGGTCCTGGAGAGGCGTCCACAACACATCCTGCTCTCCTTGCTGTTTCCATGGGAAAGGCCACCACCCTCCATGGCATCATAGACTCTGGCAGGACTCTGGCCTTCCTCCCTCTACCTCCTGCTAGCTGACATCAACCAGCAGCTATGGTGGCCTACACGGCGCTCCTGTCCATTGTTCTGGCCTCACCCTGATCTACTGTTAGCAAGAACACGCCACCCTGCTCCACCCTGCTCCACCCCACTCCACCCTCACTCACTGTGTGTCACCCACAGGCCTGGGACAATAGCCCTCCTTCAGAAGGCAGCCACCAAGTAGTTTGACTTGTGTAGCGAACCTGGGCTTGTAGGCTTCCCTGTCCCTTTCTGCTGGAGGTCCCTGGGCCTAAGCTGCGGTGCTGAAGCCCTGCATCCTTCCAGGGAGGTGGCGTTTCTGGCAGGTGTCAACAGAAGGTGCCTGCCAGCCTGGGTTTATCTGTACCCAAAATACTGAATGACCAGCTGCCCAGGAAGTGGCCCTTTATACCCGCTGCTAGCAGGGTGTGGAACTGAATGTATCCCTTGTAACATCACTGGGAGCAGGCTTGGGAAACTGCCAGGCTGCTCTGTCCCTACCAAACCTCACTGCCAGTCTGTCTGCAATACAGGCCACAGCCCCAGGATAACCTGATACCAAGTCCCAAGTCCTCTTCGCAAGTCATCAAACACATTCTCACACAGCTCCCTGGGCCCAAGACGCCACAGGCACCCATCTATCATCCTTATGGCTGTGCCTCATCATCTCTCCTCAAGCTCTTAACTCACTGCTTCTCTTGGCACCATCTCTTGGCAAAAACACCAGCTGCTTTACCCAGCATTTCCCAACTGCATGGGCACCAGCAGCTGGGTGCTGCTGAAGAGGGATGGTGACCCCATTGTGCTCCTGTCCCATCCTCTCAACCCTACCCCACCGGTGATTCCAGTCTTGGGCACTAGGGGATGGCTCTGTAGGTAAAGCACTTTCTACACAAGGACGAGTGCTGTGGGATAATTGTACACTGTGTGAAGATACACCGCTGTGATTGTTAGTAAAGAGCTGAGTGGCCAACAGCTGGACAAGAGGTATAGGCAGGACTTTGGGCAGAGAGAGGAAGTAGGAGGAGACAGTCGAGGCGCCCCGGAGATGACAATGAGACATGGAGTCAGACATGCAGAATGAAACGAAGGTAAAAAGTCACATGGTAAAATGTAGATTAACAGAAGCAGGTTAATTTGAGTTGTAAGAGCTAGTGGGACCAGCCTAAGCTAAGGCCGCGCTTTCATAAAAAGTCTCCATGTCATTAGTAAAGAGTTGGCTGGAAGGACAGAAAAGGACTCGGTACAGATGAGGACCTGAGTTCGGATCCCTCAGCACCCACATCAAGCTGGACACAGCGATACCATGTGTGATACCAGCACTCCTATGCAGAGATAGACAGAATTTCCAGAACCTTACAGGACAGCTAACCTGGAATACACAGAAGGAGCAATGACAGCCTGCTTCAAACAAGGTAGAAGGTGAGGACTGACCCTGGAAAGCTGTCCTCTGACCCTGCATACATGCCAGAGCATATGCACACATACACAAATACAAATAAAAAACCTGCTAGATATGGCGATGCAATTCTATAATGCCCGTCTCAGAAGGCAGAGATAGGAGGATTCTTCCCAGTTTTAGGGCAGCCTGGGTTACATAGTAAGTTTGAAGCTACCTTGTGCTTCATAGTAAGAAGCTATCTCAAAATCAATCCAAATGAAAGTACAGACTAGAGGGGGTGTATGTATATGTGGGTGGCTGAGTGGATGAATAGGTGGGTGGATATATGTATGTATATGTGTATATATATGGGTGGATGGATGGGTGGTGGTTGATGTAATGTATGTATGTATGTATAAGTAAATGCAAGGTGGGATGGTGGTGTATGCATGTATGTATGGGTGGGTGGGTGGGAATGAATGTATATATGCATGGGTGGATGCATGGAAGGGTGGGGGTGGGTATATGTACATATGTATGGGTGGGTGGATGAATGAATACGTCGGTGAATATACAGATGTGTGGGTGGATGGATAGGTGGGTGGATGTAAGGGTAGGTGAATGGATGGGTAGAGTGGCAGGCGGATGGGTAGATGGACAGACAGACTGGTGAAAAGACCGATGGACGAATACATGACACTTTAAAAACCCCTCAGCTAATAAGGAGCATGTGAGACAGGAGGTGTGGTGGCTTACCAAGCCTGGGAAGGGATCTACCAGTCTCCACGGCTGGCCCTGCGGTCGGGTGGCTTTTACCTGGAAACAGAGGACCTCTGGATCGTTTTTAAGCAAGGGAAAAAGGGATTTGTCTTCAATTCCCGTAGAAAAAGAGCTATCTTGTTTGGAGTGGAAAACTGGAATGAAAGGACCTATCATGCATGGGACAGGAAAGGAGGAGGAGGTAACAGGAGCTGGAGGCAGGTCAGGAGCAGAAGCAGCCTGAGCTGCATGAGACTAGGCTGAGGCGGGAACAGATAGAGGTTTCTTGGTCTGCAGCCTCTGGATATCCTGTAAACATCAAACTTCCATCAGAGACTTAGGTGTCATCAAGGCAAGTTCCCAGCCACACGCACCTCTCATCCACATTGGCAGATCCAAGCACAAGAAGGCCCCCTTGAACGCCCCGGGACCAGAGGCTCAGCTGAGCAAACAGGTAGGTGAGGACCATCCTTATGCGAGCCTGGATGAGGGAAGAAGGCAGTTACCCTGTGCCTGACCCAGGAAACAGCTGCACTATGCTGCAATCCTAGCACAGGAACATTCAAGTCAGAACACAAACATGCTGAATGGAGCTGCCCTGTGCTGGGGAGAAGACTCCCACGCCCGCCTTGCACCAGTCCACAGCAGGATCACAGTGCCAAGAGTAACAGGAGGCAGACACTGAGTAGGGGGAGCCAGGAAGAGGCTCAGCAGTGCCTCCCACACTAGTTACCATTTGAGAGGTGGCCATGAACGCAAGGGGCAAACAGAGATGGCATGCTGACAAGAGACAAGCCCTGGGGCCTTTCCTCTCCCTGTTGACACGTGGCATCTAGGCTAACCAAGGTAGTCCAGGGGTGGGGCAGGGCTAGCGGGCCAGGGCTGGATGAAATGCATGGGTGCCCACATACACCCGTGTGTGGTCATGCTCCAGCACACAGCCTCACCAAGGCTCAGATGGGCACACCCTCCACACGCACTTACTGACACTCACAGACCTGCAGCCCAAAGCATGGCTGTGTGGCCAGCGTCTCTAGTGAGGTGTACAGGCAGTTAACACAGCATTGCCCCTCCCATCCCCAGAATCCCTCTCTTTCACTGCTTTCCCCTCGGCATCCTTGTGAGGACGAGGGCCAGGCTCTAATACCTACCTGCACATTCTGCAAGGCCAGGTTCTCCCTGCTGCTCCCTCCGTGTGCTGAAAACCGAGGGAACTTCCCGGTCACCAAGCTGAAGATGCCCAGGACAGCCTTCACGGCGGTGCCAATGCTCAGATTGATGTGGTAGCTGGAAGGGCAGGGGTGAGAGGGGTCAGCACAGGTGTGCTAAGACAAGCTCTTAATTACCTTTGAAAAATATCTCTTGGGCCGGGCGTCGGTGGCGCACGCCTTTAATCCCAGCACTCGGGAGGCAGAGCCAGGCGGATCTCTGTGAGTTCGAGACCAGCCTGGTCTACTGAGCTAGTTCCAGGACAGGCTCCAAAGCCACAGAGAAACCCTGTCTTGAAAACCCCAAAAAAAAAAAAAAAAAAAAAAAAGAAAGAAAAATATTTCTTGGGCCTGGGTATAGCAGTGCACACCTTTAATCCTTTAATCCCAGCACTTGGGAGACAGAGGCAGGTGGATTTCTATGAGCTCCAGGTTAGCCAGAGCCTCAGAATGAGACCTGTCTGAAAAAAAAAAAAAAAAGACTGGAAAGAAGGCTCAGCAATTAACTGACTAGACCTAGACTTGATTCCGAGCATCCGCATGTTGGCTCACAACCACCTGCAACCTCAGTTCCAGGGGATTTGATGGCCTCTTCTGCCACTCATATGCACCTGCCCACACTACATACATAATAAGAAATAATGATATTTCTTATCATGTGTATTGGGGGGCCATACATTCCATGGCATGTGTGGATGTCAGAGAACAACTTTTGGGAGTCAGTTTCTCCTTCCAGGATGTGGGTCGAAGGGACTGAATTCAGGTCATCAGACTTGGTGGCAAGCACCTTTCCCTGCTGAGCCCTCTTGCTGGCCCTCTACTGTCATCCTAGAGCATGTGACTCAACCATGGCCAGCACAGTAACGACACTATAAGACCATTACTACTTGCCATCCAGTGCCAGAACTCACCAGGCCAGAAAGAAATCCTGCCCAGCAGCCAACACTCCCTACTCCCACCCGCCACAACTCAATTGCCAGTCCACTGTCTGGACTGGTAAATCTACTGTGGGTAGGCTAAGCTGGGCAACTCACAGAAATGGAGAGGTGCATGTCATGTGGCCTTTGAGACCTGGTGATTTCACTCAGCACGACAGTTCTAAGTATCACTTATGGTTTGGAGGTGCTCCACACCTTCTCACATCAGAACGGTACTCCAGTGTGGGCACATGACATTGTGTTTAACTATCCGTCCATCTATGGACGTTTGGCCCATTTCCCTCTCTCATCCCTGTGACAAAGCTGACAACCAGGAACATCCTGCAGAGGTAACTGTTTGGGCTTGTAACTCCTATGAGCGTAAGCCCAGGTATGGAACCTGCTGGTAGGGAAGCTTCTGGCTGTACACGGGAATGTGACAAACAGTTTCTTGATTTTTCAAAGAGCCTGAATAAAATATTCTAGATGAGGCAGAGTAATGCCTCCTGGAAAAGTCTTGATCCTCCCCACAAAGCCTGCGAGCTACATCCAAAGCCGGCTGGACCAGCTCTATGGTATCCTGCTGATGGGAATATATTCCCTGAAACTGTGGGGCAAGACTGGGTGATGGATGTTTATGTGTGTACATGCATGTGAACTGTACAGTCTGGGCTCAAACACACAGCAGCATTTCACTCAGCTGCCAGATACACACAAGGACACTACAGCCACAGGCTTGTCACCAGCTCTGACGTCCGCCACGGTGCCAGCCTGAGCTCAGCACAGGATGAAATCCTACCTTCCAATCTGCTGAGCTAGTTCTGTGGCCCTGCTGTGAGTCTCCTGGGAGGAGTTCTCACTGGCCATGTAGCAAGTGGTGAGCAGGCGTCCGCAGAGCTCGTGGGGATCTTCTGGGGTGTAGCTGTTCTCGTTCACCAGACTTTGGATGTCTGCCAGCACCTGCTGATCTGGAGCCGCCATGGCAGGATGAGAACCAGTGTCTGTGCACGAAGTCCTGGCCTCCCTCCCAAGTACTCAGGCAGTCAGCCCACATCTTCCAGGCGCCAGACTGTTCAACTTCCTGGGGCCCATGTAGGTACCAGGCACCCTGGTCTGATCTTCAGCTTCCACATATTAGCCCCAGTCCATTCCTGGCACCTACCTAGCTATCTCCTAAGTTGATGTTCAGTCCCCACAGTCTGTCTCCCAAATTTCCTTGTATCTAGCTCCCATTGATCACCCTAGAGACCACAAATCTAGCCTGGTTCATTGCCCAGGGTCCTAAAAAAATGAGCAAGTCCCTCTCCCAGGTGCTTCAATACTGGCCCTTGTTCCCGCAGGGCTAGCTGTGCTAACTCACAGATCTGTTCTAGGTCAACCTGTGATCTGTGCTGGGCTAACCCACTGCTCTGCACTGTACTAACCCACTGCCCCTGCACTGTACTAACCCACTGCTCCTGCACTGTACCACGGCTCTCACTGTACTAACCCATGGCTCTGCACTGTACTAACCCATGGCTCTCACTGTACTAACCCATGGCTCTCACTGTACTAACCCACGGCTCTGCACTGTACTAACCCACTGTTCTGTGCTGAGCTAACTGTGGTCTGTGTTTGGCTGGTCTATGTTCTGGGCTAACCCTCTGCTCCTGCACTGCTCAGGCTATTCTTAGTGCCACTGCACCCATGGTGAAATAAGGACTTGGCCTAGGTTGCCAGACCCCAAAGCCTATGACCTCCCCCCAGGGCTGCACTGTTAACAGGCAGTGGCAGGCAGACAAGACTATATCTGCTAACTACCCAGGAAAGGCTGTTACTGGCCTGAGTTCTGGGACTTGAATAGGACGGACATCTGTGCCCTGCCACTAAGCCTCCCTCATCCATGTTCCCCATGACCTGGGTTTGTCCCCTGCTCCGTGCCTCCCTCCTCACACCAATGGACACCAAGTCACCTACTTCCACTCTTCACAGCCTCACAGACCAGGCAGCACATGGAGTAGACGATGCAGGCGCTGGCTGCACTATCCACACCGCCACTCAGGGGCAGGAAAAACCCAGCCTGGAAGGGGCCAACCAAGTACTGTGTGAGCCAAGCTGCAGAAGGGCTCTGCTCCAGCCAATCTCCAGCCTAGCACCACCCTCTGAGTCCCAGAGTCCTACAGGAGCACACGGCCCAGCACCATCTCTGGGGGGACAAATGGGCCCACTTGTATGACAGGTTTCCTAAAGGGCAGAGATGCCACAGGAGCCCAGGCTGCCTTTCTGGCCCTAGAGGAGCGTACATCAGGGGATCTGAGAGTTCCCCGCCTTTCAACAGCTCCATAGACCATCATACAGCTTCAAAATGGGCTTCACCCATCTGGCCTCTGGCCAGTTGAGATACACTCTCCCAAAGAAGAACACCACTATCTCATCCTAGCTTCACACACCAACCAGGAGACACATGGGGATGGGTAGGAACAAAACACCCTACCTGTTTGCTCCGTCGGAGGAAGTCCCAGAGCCAGCAGGCAGGCCCGAGGCTGCGGGAGATACTAGTGTTGAGTCTGGAGGCACAAGCCTGGCTCACTGCATCTCTAGAGTGGCCTGGCATGGGGCCCCCAGAAAGCAACACAGAGTCACAGCCCTGAGCCTAGGCTCTTTCTGGGCCATCTGCTACAAGCACTGTGTGTCAACCTGGGCATTTCAATTCTGAAACCAGTCTAGGAAACCCCCAGAGGTATCCCATGTGAAATGGGGACACAGAGGCCTGGCACAGGGCCTCAGAGCTTAAGGACATAGTTCAGAGAGACTATGCGGAGCAGAACCAGGCAGCCTGACCTCATCAGCTATAGGGAGTCTTTTACTTTTGACAGGGTCAGTCTCACTAAGTAGCAATGACTGTCTTAGAACGCATGATGTGACAACCACTGTATCTTTAACCCCAGGAAAGCACAGGGACTACCCTAGGCAGATTTTGGGTTTCTCTGAAGCTCCTACACCTTGTAAACCTTGGAAGCCACTGGGATAGTGAGTTCCAAAAAGCAACGGGATCCAGAACCAGGGGGCACCAACCTTATCTCCTCCTCAGGACTGTGGTATGTCCACGCCACAGGTTCTGACACTGGTTCCAACAAGTCCTCACTGACCGAGAGGGCAAAATCCACATTCACCCTGGGATAGGGGCTCACCCTGCTTGCCTATTGGGAGAGAACATCAGGACACAGTGACAGCTGCAGTTGGGAGCCTCCACGGGTGAGGGGTAGGACTCTAGCAGCCATGGGAGTCACAGATGAGCCCACGGGGAGTTAGGATGGACTGATCGAAGCTGACAGGTGCTGACCAGGGCTTGCAAGGACAGAGGCGTTACAGACCTTTCCTGGTACTGCGGGAATGGGGAGGGGGTAGCCACTCAGGAGAGCAGTGTGATAGTTCTTCAACAGTCGGAACATGAGGGCCTCATGTGAGCCGGAGGGCTCACTCCTGGACAGATACACCCAGGAAAAAGAACCCATGCTCACTCAAAACTCAAGAGGAGCAGCAGTGGGCACCCTGTGTACAGCCACTGGGTGGAGTGCTACTGTACCCTGAAAAAACAGCAGAGCCCCATGCTTCCACATGGTGAACCCCAAGGATGCTATCCTTAGTGAGAGGAACTGGGTACACCCTCAGTTCAGTACCATCTCTGGTCAAGCCCACAGCATACTGGGCCACCAGCAAGGTGCTGCTGAGCATTCAGGCTGGTGTTTCTCCCATGGTGTTTACCTCCAGGTTTCGAGATGAGATCTCTGCCCTGTAGCTCCGGACATCTTCCAGGTCCAGGGTGGCAGTGAGGACCTCCTGGGTGGGGAAGCAGAAGGAGAGCACAGGACTGCTGTCCCACGTGAATGGGTCAGACCTTTCACAGCAGAAGCGAGGCATCCGTTGCCCCTAGCAAGGTGAAAGGCACCACTACCCTCCTGAACTTTTTCTCCTTTTAAAAAAACGCATTTTAAATTATGAGTATGTGTGTCTGCACACACGAGTGCAGTTTCTGTAGAGGCCAGAAGAGGGCGCTGGATTCCTGGTGCCAGAGTGATAGGTGGTTGGGAGCTGCCTGATGATGCTGCAACCTGAACTATCTCTCTAGCAGCATCTCTGTCTGGCCGACACCATAATCCCAACTATATTTAGACATCTCCCAGTGACCCCCAGTTATAGCAGGCAACACAATTCTGTCAGTGACTAGGGTAAGGGTGGGGTTTCAGGAAATGTTCTTTTTTACTTAAAAGACACAGAGAAAGCAATGATTCCTCCAGCTCTGCACATAGTGACTTAGAGATGGAAGGGCTGGAGCCACTGCAGCCATTCTATGAGCAGAAAATGAGGAAGATGGAGGGAAGAACAGCATGGGGAGTGACATGGCAGTGCACGCCCAGTCTTCCAGGAGCTGAGCATGCGGCTCGCCAGCCCCTCTGAGAACTGTGTGGTCTCTGAGGTGGATTTGTGCAGGGCTGTCCCCTATGTCCTCACACCCCCGCCAAAGGACTGTGATGACACACACACACACAATCCCCTTGCCTGGCCGGCTTCATGAAGCCCCTCCCCATGGGAGGTGATGTGTTTCCTCTGTGCTTCCCATCACTCAGGGCACAGTAGGAGGTGATGGTTAACACTGATTGTCATCTTGATACAATGTAGAATCGCCATGGAAACCAAATCTCTGGGTATGTCTGTGAGGGAGTGTCTAGATTGGGTTTGTTGACGTAGATGCCCTCTGAAAGTGGGGGGCACCAGCCTGTGGGCCGGGGTCCCAGACTGAATAAAAAGTAAAACGTGAGCTGAGCACCAGCCTTCATCTCTGTGCTTTCCACTATGGACGTGCTGTGCCCAGCTGGCTCACACTCCCGCAGCGACGCATTCCCACCATGATGAACTGGTAGCCTCCAGCCGTGAGTCAAAATAAACCCTTCCTCCCCAAAGACCTTCTGTCCGGTATTTGTCACGAGTGAGCAGCTACTAATGCAGGGTACAGTCCCCCTTTAATGTGTGCTGTCCAGGCCATGGGGAAAATGATAGGTCTTGGATATGCCAGATACCCCCGAGGATAATGTCCCCAGTTAAGTCTGATGGTCACCATCCCCTTTAACAGGATTAGGTCTAGTGCCTGCTAATCCCTGATTGGGGGGGTTTTATCCTGCCAGCCTCCAAAATGAGTCAAATATACTCACTAGCCCCTGTATGAAGCCAGGCGGTCGTGTGTCCCAGACACCATGGTATCTGCCCCAGTGTGCTTACTATAGCCTGGGGTCCTCCTCCCTAGCTCATGCCCAGCGTGGACATTTTTCTCTGCTCTGGGTTCCATCAAAACCTGCCCCACAGGAATCCTTCCTCACAGCCAGGGGAGAGAAAACTCTACAGATGAGCAGTTAACTGACTGGGCAGTGGGAACACAGCTCCCCATCCCCATGCTTGGCTCATTACCACATCATCCAACGAGAACTGAGCGCCCTGGACAAAGATACTCCCGTTCATGGCAATCATGGCACAGCCATCGTAGTAGAGACGGTCACCGTCGCAGCCCTTCTGGTTGGCTAGCAGGTAGATGCCACCATTCTAGAAGAAGCAGAGGAGACAGTATGGCTATCAGTGTTTTATATAACATGCGACTGCCGCTAGTCCTGACCGGAACACCTAGATGCATCAGACTTCCCAAGCTGTCATCGGCATCCAGGCTCTGAGAGGGACAGAGGGTGCAGGTGGGGACACCAAGCCCCATGGCGTTGATTCATGTGGCCTTGACAGATGTGCTGTGATTTCCTCGAAACCGAAAAGTCAGAAAGTCAATAATGTACAAGTCTCAGGAAGCTCCTGAAACTTAGCAGATGTATGTGGCCCCTCCTCTCCTAGGTCACATAAGCAGTAAGAACTGCTGAAAGGTTCTCAGACCAGCCAAGCTGCCTGGCAGAGACTCTCTGATCTGTCAAATTGCCTGCAAACTGTGGAGAGAGCTCCAGGGTTCCAGTCCTATAAGCTGTCAATGGGGCTTTGGTGATGCAGCTGCCTTTGACTCATCCTTGCTCCTGCCCATTACTCCTTACCCACACCGCTGAGTAATTCCAATAAACTCATTGGGCTTACCACATTTAACTCTGGTGATCTTGTTACTTTGGTCATTGACTTACCACATTTAACTCTGGTGGTCCTGTTACTTTGGTCATTGACTTAACACATTTAACTCTGGTGGTCTTGTTACTTTGGTCTATCACTGACTTACCACATTGAACTCTGGTGATCTTGTTACGTTGGTCTATCATTGGCTTACCACACTGAACACTGGTGGTCTTGTTACTTTGGTCTATCACTGGCTTACCATACTTAACTCTGGTGATCTTGTTACGTTGGTCTGTCATTGGCTTACCACACTGAACTCTGGTGGTCTTGTTACTTTGGTCTATCATTGGTTCCCTACCAGGAGTGAGTAGACCTGTTAGGTCTTCCCCCAATAATGTCACATGACACCAGGTGTCAGGCACCCCATAGAACATCCACTTTTACTGTCCCTCAGCATTCAGTGCAGTGCTATTGTCCCTATCTGGCAGGGCCACTGCAGCTAGGGCAGTGTGATGGGGCAGCATTGAGCTTTAGAGCCACAAGACGCACTGGTGACCTTGGGTGACCTCTGTGAGACCTGGATGCTATCTCCTGTCTGTGCCCATCTTCAACCTGGGGCATGTCTATCTGCACCAAAAGCTAACAGTACTGCTCCACTGTACCCAAGATCAGTGGCAGGTGCATGCAAGTTGGCATGTGTTTCCATGACAACCACAGACAGGAGCACATCCTCATAACGGTGTCACCAGAATCTGTTTAATATGATGGCAGTTAGGGCCTGGGGATACAGGAAGAGAAACCTGGGAGGGACCAAGCATGTGTATAGAATACAGCTTCAAACCACAGCCTTAAGTATGCACCAGAGGTGGCTGAGCCCTGCCCCAGGTACTACTGCTCTTGGGGGTTCCTCTGACAGAACCTTAACTTGTGATACTGCTCATCCATCCTGCCCAATGCCTACCTTGGAGGTGGCCATGGTCACCAGATCCACCCTGGTATGGGCTTTACGTAGCACGTGGTGGCTGCCCGAGGCGTTGGTGATGATCTCTACACCATCCAGGCCCATGTCGATGTGAGGGCTGTGGAAAGAGGCAGGCAGAATGACAGCTGGGCTCCTGTGGCCCCTCAGCTATCTAGGGGGACCTCCATGGTTAAGGCCATGACCTCAAGAGGCTGCAAAGTCTGGGTCCTCCCACTGGTCATCCCTGGATGGGGAATGAATGGCAAAGGGTCAGCTGACCTGCGTGGTGTCCAGAGCTCTTCACAGACTTCACTTCCAATACAAGTGTCCCTGGTGGCAAGAACCACATCTCCGAAGGGAACGGTTTTCTGCAGTGGAGAGAAAAGACCACTTTAGATCTCAGGGCTGCTTACTGGGCTACACACTGGCCTCCGACATCTTGAAGGCTACCATACTGTTCCAGGCCCTCACTAAGGCTTTCCTCACTGCCGTCGTGCCCAGTTCCAGCATATTTGACTTCTGCTGACCCCGGGCTCTCCCATTTCCCTACACATAACCACAAGCCATGCAGCTTTACTGCAGCTGCAACAGGTCCTTTCCTCCACTCCATCTCCTGCCACCAACAATGTCACCATTCACAAAGGCTGCAAGTAGTAGGCCCACAGTGTAGCAAGAAGGACAAATCTCAGAGATATGCCCGTCGCCGGCTGATTGTGGCTTCCTAGAATGGTCCCTGAATCCATCTACCTCTGCTCAGGGCTGACTCCTGCCGCTGGGCTTGCAGTCAGCTCTCCTGCACTCAGCATGGATTCCACTCTGAACTTCCCATCTACCCAGCTGTGCTCTGACTCCGCCCACCCGCAGCCTGCACTGGCAGAAGCCCTGGGAAGGATGCACCTGCTTTGTCAGGTCCTGTAACATCCGAGGGAGGACATACTCCTCAGTTTGCCTGGAAGGAAAGAATCAAAGCACGGCAAAGCTGAGATGAGGTCCTGGGACACAGGAAGCATGGCGCAGGCATGGACCCTCCATCTCACCATGCCAGGCTCCTGAGAGTGTTGTGTCCTCGAGGCAAAGCCACCCATTCACGTAGAGACCTATGGCAGACACTGTAGTACTCATGCATGTCTCTGCCTCTCTGTTTTCTGAAAGACTTGTGGAGAGGGGGACTGGAATCAGGCCATTGTTCCAAGGGAGAAATGGGGGCTCTTCCTAACCGTGGAAAAGTCCTGCAATGTTTACCTACAGACATAATCACACCTACCTTACCATAGTCTTTAACAGGCAGGGTATTTACCACACACGGCTTTGGTCTACAGGGTCTCATCCTCAAACAAGCCGCTACCCGGTATACTGCTTAGATGCCAAATGCAGACTGCTCTGTGCCCATGGGCACACTGCCAGTGGTTCTTCAACTTAAGCACAATGCCAGCAGTCATAGAGCCGAGTGCACAAGGCCTCTCCCAGCCATCAACACAGGGAACAGAATACCCACAGACCTCCTCATGGCCACACCATCCTAGAAGAGTCCTCTGTCCCCATCTGTAGGATAGGAAGCAGCAATGTCGCTAAACCAAGATGTTGTTGAGTCGTCAGTACATCATCCTTATCTTTACCAACTCATGCAAAGACCCACTCGGTACTGGCCTGTTGCCCTAGCACTGGACTACAGGACAAGCTCCTATCTCAACAAACCACAAAACAGAACACTAACACAATACCTGTATTGTTACATGAAATAAAAAGCTACTGGGTGAACGGCCCAACGTATGTTACAGGAGAATGAGCTCTTTGCACTCTGCCCTATTTATGGGTCATCTAAGGACAGACCCAAACGAAGTCCCAGAAGGGCAGGAAGGGGCTGGGGAGGCCATTTCTTTTTACTTGATTTTTATATTGATTTATTCACTGTGTGTATAAGTACATGGGTGTGCACATGTCACAGTGCTCATGCAGAGGTCAGAGGACAACTTTCAGGAACCAGTTTCTGGATACTTTAAAAATATGTATTTATGTGTGCAGGTGTGTGCGTCTGTCTGTCTGTGTGTAGGAATGTGTATATGAGACAGGTGCTCACAGAGACAAGAAGAGGGCGTCAGATCCCTTGGAACTCAAGTTACAGACAGTTGTGAGCTGCTTATGGGTGCTGGGAAAATGAACCCAGGTCCTCAGGAAGAACAGCCAGTGCTCTTAATCCCTGAGTCATCCTCCATCCCCTCACTCTTAATTTAATATTATTTTTCTAGACAGAGTCTCACTGTTTAGCCCTGGTTGGTCTGGAACTATACAGAACAGATTGGACTTGAATACACAGAGCACAGCCTGCCCCTGCCTCCTGTGTGCTGGGATTAAAGGTGTGTACCACTTATTCTTGTGCTGAGGGAAATTTTAACCATATTATAATTGGATAGTAGAGCACTCTCATAACACATCCAGAGCACAGACAAAGAAAACAACTTTATACTATTAACACCAAAACAAAACACAAGAGACACACCCCTCCCCCAACAAAACAAAACAAAAACCTCTAACACAACGCTGGCATACAAGTCTAGAAACTGAGCCAATTTCTAAATAAACCTTAACAAATTCAATCCAAGTTTTTGTTTGTTTGTTGTTTTGTTTTTTCAAGACAGGGTTTCTCTGTGTGGTCCTGGCTGTCCTGGAACTCTCTCTGTAGACCAGACTGGCCTTGAACTCACAGAGATCCTCCTGCCTCTACCTCATGAATGCTGGGTGATTGGCTGAATCCAAGTTTAATATTCCACATTCACTTGAATTTAAAGAAGGGCACAAAGGTTTACTCTCTCTGTTCACCTGACATACATGGGAAAGACACTGGGATTCAACATTTATTCTCCATTTTTAAAAGGCAGAGCCAGAGAGATGACTCAGCAGTGAAGACCTGAGTTCCCACCCAGCAGTTGTGAATGGCAGTTAACAATTGGCTGTAACTCAGGTCCAGAGGATCCCTGGCCCTCTTTTGGGCTCTGTAGGTACACACACACACACACACACACACACACACAGAGAGAGAGAGAGAGAGAGAGAGAGAGAGAGAGAGAGAGAGAGAGAGAGAGAGAATTAAAAATATATTTTTTTAAATTCACAGTAAAAAACAAAGGGTGGTGAGACAGAGGTCTGAAGCCAAATGGAGAAACTCAAGGAGATTTCTGGATAGTTGGGAGAAAGGCAAAAAGCCAAGCCTTCTATCCTAGGAATACTCTAGAATGTTGTAGAAATGTTGTCTGGCAAAAGTGAAGAGGATGGGCTGAGAAACATAAATATGGAAAGAAGTCGTATCAGGTGCACATTATGTAAAGTTCTCCCTGACGGAGGAGAGAAGGAAGTCAACACAATTACAAGACAGGACCAGAATTCACAAGGCCATCCATATACAGCAACCCTCAGAATCCAGTGGTTTTCCTAGATCAGCTGTCAACCACTTAAAGAATCCTGCTATGACCCTGTTCACAAGGGCAATTGCCAGTTATAGATGGGGGTAACTGGTAGTTTGAATAAGAATGGCCCCATAGGCTCATATATTTGAATGCTTAGAGTGGCACTATTTGAAAGGATTAGCAGGTGTGGCCTTGTGGAGGAAGTGTGTCACTGGGGATGGGCTTTGGGATTATGAAAGCCCAAGCCAGGCCCAGAGTCTCTCTCTTCTTGATGTCTGTGGATCCGAGTGCAGAACTCAACTGCTTCTCCAGCATCATATCTGCCTGAGTGCCACCTCTGAAACCGTAAGCCCCGATGACATGTTTTCTTTCATATGAACTGCATGCATGGTGTCTCTTCATAGCAAAAGAACACTAAGAAAGTAACCTAAAACACAGAGCAGGGCTTCCCAACTGGGGGCATTTTTTCCCCTAGGAAATATTTGGTAAAGTCTCGGACGATAGGTTTTTTGCTCCGTGATAGGCTCTTGTGTTCCCCAGGCTGACATGGAGCTTACTAAGTAGCCAAAGTGTCTTTGAAGTCCTGATCTTCAGTCTTCTCTTCCAGGTGCCAGGGTGAAGGGTGTACACCACTATGCCTACCTAGTTTACAAGGATTTTGGCTAATGAAGTCTACTCAGGTTGGGGCACCTCTGACTCTGCCCACCATATACCACACAGGACAGACTGCTCCCTTCAGAGAATGAACTGTTCCCAAAGGTCAAATGGGCTATGGGGAGAGTCCATGCTCTAAAGGACAACTTGAGATGCAGTGTCCCTCCACTTAAGAGTGACCAGTGACCACTGACTGACAGCTGAGGTCTTATGGTGTCTACTGGCTCAGACGTGAACTGAGAGCATGGAATCAGCCATGTCTGAACGGCTGGAATAGTCCTCCCACCTCCACAGTGTTCTGCGGCTCACCTCCCAACTGAGGCTGTTGTGCTGAGGATGTCTAGTGAACACTTGGTGTGTGGTCCCAACACATGGCAGCCAAAGCACCAGATACTCACCGGCTCCTGGACCAGGGGGTGAACCAGCGTAGTTCCCGGTAGTTGCCTTCATTGGCCAAAGCCATCTTGGGCCTGATGAGAAGGATCTTCCTACAGTGGGTGAAAGGACTGATCATACCAACCTCCCGGGACAAGCAGGCCTCTGCCATAAAACTTGCACCATAGGATAAGGTGAGGCCACTGAGTTGGTTCAAATCCAGGGCCCTGAGAAAACCCTTGTGTTTTTTTCTCTAGGTTTAAGCTTTCTGCTTGGGAAAATAAAAGGTCCCTATGACTCCATTAGCCAACAAGTATACTTTGCTGGAAGCTGGCACACGTGTAGGTGTGTATGCATTGGGGGAGGGGCGGCCAGAAGACTTCCCTCACTTTTATTGTCCAGGTGACAAGGATAAAAGCCCAAACAAACCCAACCTTGGGTCTCCTACTCAAGCCTGAGCGAGGGTGGCTGAGGCCCAGAGATGGAGATTCATAGTAGTTGCTGGGACAGCTCACTCAGGACACCCCTCAAGATATCCCCCACCTGAGCCAGGCACAGGCATGCCAGCTCCCCCCCCCCCTGCCTCCCACGACCTCACTTACCGGTTGAGAAAGATGACTCTGCAGTTGTAGCGAACATTCCGGTGCATCACAGGCCTGCAAACAGGAGGGAGGATGCGTGTCTGCATCTCTTGCTGCACAAGAGAGCAGCAAGCAGAGGCAGTGGCGCTAACTACAGTCATGTGTTCTTTGCTGTGTGTCTACAGGTGCATGCCCATGCACACACAGGTGGACACCGAAGGTCCTCCTTATCCAGCTCCACTTTGTTTTTTAGTATTAAACTTTACTTTAGATTGTGTGTGTGTGTACATTCATGCATGCATGTTGTATGTGCACACATAGACACGCACGAATATATCTGTACACACATCTACATACATACATACACCAATCTGTGTGCATATGTGTATGTATGTCCACATGGACTTGTGCATGTATGTACAGATCTCCTAGAGCTGCAGTTACAGGTGGTTGGGACATACAAGTACATAGAACTGAACTCGGAGTGTACGCAGCATATGCTCGTAACCATTAAGCCATCTCTCAAGCTTCTCCGCTTTATTTTTTTGAGACAGGGTCTCACTTATCCTGGGGGCTCACAGAAGCAACCCCAGAGACCCTTCTATCCTACCTCCCAGCACTGGGGTTTCAAAGGCATCCTGATGCACATGGTTTTACACATGGGTCCTAGAGCCCAACTCAGGTCCTCAGACCTGCAGTCCTTTATGCTCAGAGCATCCCCCCCAGCCCTTGGATGCTTTGCATTGGCAGGAGGTTCCCTCAGATCTTTAGAGAAACCCTCAACGTTCTTCTGTAGCTTTCAAATTCAACTCAAAGGTGTTCTGAAACAAGGCTCCCTCTTCTAAAATGTCCCAGAGCTTAGGGTAACTGCTTCTATCACTGCTTGTCTCTGCTGTCTCCTCCCCTAGCCAGAGGCTCACCTGCCCTAATGCTTCCTTCCAAACAGGATCAGAGATAGGATATAAGCAGGGGTACCCTGTCTTTCATCTGTCAACTCCCCCAGCCCTAGCCATGGCTCATGCACAGCCACTATAAGCAGCTCGTATCATCACGGCTTCTAGTCCTCTCTTAAGCCAAGTAAAGTACATTCGAGGATGGGAATGATGTGCTTCCATTTGTGCAATAGATGTGCAGAATACTAGATGATTACATAAAGCAGGGCCTCAGACAGCATGCTTCAGCTAGCCGTGGAGGTGGAGGCAGGAGGATCAGATGTTTGATGTCAAACTCAGCTACACGTAGTTCAGGGGTAACCGGGGTTATATAAGACTCTGGGGGCTGGAGAGATGGCTCAGTGGTTAAGAGCATTGCCTGCTCTTCCAGAGGTCCTGAGTTCAATTCCCAGCAACCACATGGTGGCTCACAACCATCTGAAATGAGATCTGATGCCCTCTTCTGGCCTGCAGGCAGACACACAGGCAGAATATTGTATACATAATAAAGAAATAAAAAAAAAAAAAAAAAGACTCTGACTCAAAGAAACCAAGCCTGGTTGGTGGTAAAATGTCTCTAAAGGGGTAAGGACCTTGCTGCCAGGGAAGATCACCTGAGTTCCAGCCCTGGGACCCACGTGGTGGAAGAAGAGACTGACTCCCACATGCATGCTGTGGTATATAAGCACACACAAAATAAATAAATACAACAAAAAATTAGAAAACCAAACTAAAATCCAGAACCAAACTAAACACAACAACAACGAAAATGAACCAAAAAAAAAAAATGCAACAGGGTTTTCTAGCTAGAGGAGGCATTAAAACAAGGACAGACATCACCAGATAATGATCAGAGCTGTCACCACACAGACATTTTCAAGTTTAGCCAGAAGGCAGAACACTGGAAGCACTTCATGTGAGAGCATGCTGTGGCCTTCCATATACAAAGAACTCTCCAGCCGGGTGGTGGTAGCACACTCCTTTAATCCCAGCACTTGGGAGGCAGAGGCAGGTGGATCTCTGTGAGTTTGAGGCCAGCCTGGTGTACAAAAGCTAGTTCTAGGACAGGCACCAAAGCTACAGAGAAACCTTGTCTCAAAAAAAAAAAAAAACTCTCCAAACAAATAAGACAGCTGTATTTAGCGCTCCCAAACTAGGCAACTCTACAACAGTACACAATGACCACCGACTAGGAAAATGCTGAACTCCTTGGGTAATAGAGTAAATCAGGATTGGGGAAGAGGCTCCACAGTACACAGCACTTGCTGCTCTAGAAGCCCAACGACAGGGACCACTATGCAAAGAGGTCAGACCACTATGGTCAGACACTCACTAGAAGGTTCTGGACCATTGTGCTGGGTGGAACCATACTTGAAGAAGCCAGGCTACTCCCCAGAAGCAGGTCCCCCAAAGTCACCATGAAGAAAACTGGCAGGATGAACATTTAGCTTGAATTTGTGCAGAGTGGCCCCTGGAAGAACTCAAAAACTGCTTCCAAGAGTTATTGTCTTGGGGAGATTAAGCAACTACAGGGCTGAGCAAAACTGACATTCAACATAGAGGTTTTAATGTTCCACTCAGACCCTATGGCCCTGATGAAGGGGCGCTGGGTGTCTTGAACTTGCCTTTCTTCCGAGTGTCCCCTTCCACACCCGCACACTGGCACTTACATGCCCACATCACAGATGATGTCCTGAGTGACAGAAGAATCCAGAAGGGCAGCCAGGACTTGGAGCGAATGCAGGAGTGTGTCTGACTCGTGATAATGATCCCAGCATCCATAGCCACTGAGGAGAGAGGGAGCAGGCCAGTGAGGGGCCAGGAGCGGCCAGGAGGGGCCCAGGGATACCACGACGGTTGGGTCAGGCACCAGGTTTTCCAGAGTCTTCCAGGTGAGTGAGTTGTTAAGAACAAATTCAATGAGGGGCACAGATAGAAGGAGAGAGAGTCAGGATTCTTTGGAGAGACATTAGACTAGAGAAGCAGGTTAACCCAGGAGGATAAGGAGGAGGATGCCTTGGGCTGATATAAAGTGTGGGAGAGAAGTACGTGTCTGCTTCCCTTATATCCAGATGTTTGAGCAGCAGTTCTCAATCTTCCTAATGCTGCGACCCTTGAATACAGTTTCTCATGTTGTAGTGGCCCCCAACCATAAAATTATTTTGGTGCTATTTCATGACTATACTTTCATTAATAAATTATAATGTAATAATTTATAATTTATAATTTTATGTTATAAAATTTATAACATTATAATAATTTTATGTTATAAATTATAATGTAAATATTTGTATGTACCCCCACCCCTAGCAAAGAGATCTCGACCCACAGGTTGAGAACTGCTAAATTAGAGTAAAGTAGGGAGGGGGACAAAGAGGAGAGGACAATCTGAAACACACGGCTGGTCAGGAGCCTCAAAGACAGACAGGTATCCCAAACCAGGGAGGAGCTGTAGCTGGTAATGGCCACACAAGGGAGTGGCCTAGCAAGAGGACAGAAGAAATCAAGTTATCAGTTTCTCTATTCTCACAAAAAGGGCACCAGAAAGAGACCATTAAAAGATGCCGAGAAAAAAAAAATGCCGAGATGAAACCTCTTTCTGTCCAAATAGGTAAATGAAAACATGGGGTTAATGAGATCTTGGCTCAGTGGGTCAAGGCCTTTCCCACCATGACTGATGGCCTGGGTTTGATGCCCAGATCCCCACACCCCTACACACACAAAATGCACATGTTCCCAAATAAATGCAATAACTTTTTTTTAAGGGATTAGAGAAATAGCTCACTTGCTCTTGCAGAGGACCTGGGTTTAATTCTTGCAGCCACATGGTGGCTCACAACTACCAATTTCAGGGGATCCAACATGCTCTTCCTGCCTTTGTGGGCACCTATCATGAAGGTGCTGCACAGAGAGATGTGCAAGCAAAAGACCCATAAACACAAAACAAATAAATATAAAAATTTTCTTTTTAATTACAAAAAGAAAGAAAACGAAAACCAGGGGAGGTGTCTCAGTGCCATGTAAGATACCACGGGAGGCAATTGCAAACAGCTCTGGGGCTGCAGGTGCAAAAATCAAGGCATCTATAGAACTAGTGTCTGCTACAGACTGCTCCCTGCTTCAAATATGGTACCTGCATTGCTCCTCAGCATTTTGGCTCAGAGCAGTTGCAAAGAGGGCACCTTGCTGGTGGCCTCATATGGGGGAGGCAAACAGGCTTCCTGGGCCTTTATATAAGATACCACTCATGGTGATTTAATTCCCTCTCCCATGCCCCACCTCTCAACACCATAACCCAGCCTGCTCCAACCTCGTCCCTCTATTTGCCGACCAGAAGCCTGGAGTCATCCAGCCTTCACCACCTGCCCTGGCCCAGTCCCACTCTCAAGTTGTTGACATCCTAAATGCTTTGCATTTCTTCTGTTCTTAGTACTGCCCCTCTTCTTCCCATCTTTTGATAAAACTACCTGCCCTCCCAGTGGTGGGATGCCAGTGTGCTTAGCCGTACCATATTTCCAGTTCTGGTCCAAGCCTGTATCTTGCACCTCTGGCTTTAGCAATTTGAATACCTATATGGAGAGAGAGGTAGGGAGAAAGAATTCAGCAGCTAGAACACATTCAAAGGCAAGAAAAGCAGGGTGCTGCAGCAATACAGCCAGAGCCAGGCTCTATGGTGTGCACAGCCCACTGGAGCCAGGTCTGTTGACAGCAGAGGAGAGCAGGCACCTGAACTCACCTATATACACTTGCAGGAGACGAGAAACAGGGAGGATAGTGTAGTACTTTCTCATCAGACTGTCTTGGAACTCCAGTCCACAAATAAGGACATAGAGACTTACCAATTATGAAAGTTTCGCCTTAGCTTAGGCTTCCAAACTAGCTCTTATAACTTAAATTAACCTGCTTCTATTTTACATTCTGCCAAGTGGCTTGGTTACCTCTCCTCTGTATAGTACATCCAACTTGTTCCACCTCTAGCTGGTGTCTGCTTGCTTCTCTTCATCCCCGAGTTCTCGTTCTTCCTGGAAATCCTACCTATCCTCTCCTGCCTAGCTATTGGCATTCAGCTCTTGATTAAGCCCCTCACAGTGACACATCTTCACACAGTGTAAACAAGTACCTCTGCAGGGTAGGGGGGGCTAAGTCACACCGTGGTAGGTAATCAATTCACAGACACCAAGACCAGCTTTAGGAAAAAGCAGTAGACAGATCGTGAAGGCTTCCAACTCTAGTATGGTGCCAGCAGCCAGCACTCACACCAGGTTGACAGCTACTGCCAACACGCAGGTGAGGTACCCCATCTTCACCCCATATACTCTGTCAAGACATAGACTCTGACAAGAAAAGAAGGTCAATATATACCAAAAAAATAAAAACACCTGGGCCGGCCAGATAGCTCAGAGGTAAAGGCGCTTGCGGCCAAGCCTGACAACCCAAGTTTACATAGAACAGTGGTCCTCAACTTTCCTAATGCTGCTAGGCTTTAATACAATTCTTCATGCTGTGGTGACCCCTAACCATAACATTATTTTCATTGCTACTTCCTAACTGTAATTTTGCTACTGCTATGAATCATAATGTAAATATCAAACATGCAGGATATGTGACCCCTGTGAGTCATTCAACCCCAAAGGGTTTGCAACGGACAGGTGGAGAACTGCTGACGTCGACCTACATGGTGGAAGGAGACACCCGACTCCTGCAAGCAGTCCTCTGACCACGAGCACACGATGACAAGCATGCGTACATGCAATACAATAATAATAAACGTGGGGTTCTGTTGGCTTTTCAAGCTGACTCTTGCAGTTTAGTCTTCTTACAGGGGCGGCTCAGCACGGAAAATATGAAGTGGGAAATCTGCAGCGACACTCTTCTCTGAGCTGAGAGCTCGCCGTTTATCCGCTTTCCCGGTTCAGTATGCATTTTCCCAATGCCCATCTACCAGGAATGTCCTCAGAGACCCTACCCCACCGTTCCCACGGAAACAGCTCCAAGGACGGGCAGCTCTGCCCCAGGAGACACTAGAAATCCACCCGATCCTAGAAGATGGCTTGAGGGCAGTGTCTACCCAGCCAGGTAGGATGCCCCCATCTCCATTCCTGCCTTGCTACTCCACGTGTCCCCCAAACTGGGAAGTCCCCCTGAAAGCTCACTAGCGCCAAGTCATTACCCTTTTATCTGTTCTCACGCCCAGCGCTGTGAGTCTCTCCCGGGCAAAGTTGTGCACTGGTCTTGAGAGCCATACCCTGATCTTTGTGGACTCTGGGTTCTTCCGGTCCCCCGTCACCCCTAGACTCACTCTTTAAAATCCTCTGGAAATTGCCCTCAAAATCCAGGGCCCACTGGTTGAGTGCACAGGTGGCTACGGTCACCTTTCGGCCCATTCTGGTTTGCAGATTCCCGGCAGGGACGCTGAACAGACACTACACTGCAACCTACAGCGCTACTGCCCGGACTGCGCATGCGCAGCTTGCCCCTTGGACCGCCATAGCTCCTCCCCTATGCTCGTCATAGCCCAGCTTCTTCCCTGCTCCTCGAGAAACGCGCCTTTTACCCGGAAGCCTCGCCCCTCCGCCCTCCTCAGCCACACCCCGCCTCTTTCTTAAGCATGCCTGAGCAAAGCATCCTTTGGGAAGGCCCGGCCTCTGGGGCAGCCAAGGAGCGCCAGAGAAGCGCGCAAGCGCAGCGAGGTTGTCTCGAAGCCCCGCCTGTACCCTGAGTCAGAGCGCAGAGCCACGCCCCACCGGTTTTTTCTGGACCTCCTCTATGGACGCTTTTGCCAGGCTTGATTTTGATATATCATGAATGGCTCGTTCCTGCTACCAAAGGTGGCGTCTGGTTTGCTTTCTGTCGCTGTGATAAACACGCGACCAAAAGCAGCTGGGAGGAAAGGGTTCACTTCACCTTATAGGCCATATAGTCTGTTATGTAGAGAAGTTGAGGCAAAGACGGAAGCAGAGCCCAAAGACGGTTGACCACAGCATACAGGCTTGCTTCAAAGGTTTCTTAGCCTGCTTTTTAACACCATTCAGGATTATCAGCCCAGGGGTAGCACCACCCACTGTGGGCAAGGCCCTCCCCCATCTATAAACAGTTAAGAAAATGCCTCATGTTTTCATGTGGTGGCGCTTGCCTTTAATCCCAGAACTCGGGAGGCAGAGGCAGGCGGATCTCCGTGAGTTCGAGGCCAGCCTACTCTGCTAAGCGAGTTCCAGGAGAGCTAGGACTGTTACATAGAGAAACCCTGTCTCGGAAAAAAACAAACGAACAAAACCTGCCTCAATCTTCTGTACAGGCCAATCTAATGGAGACAGTTCCTCAAGTGAAGTTCCCTCTTCCCAAGGGTTTTTGGTTTGTGTCCTGTGAACAAAAACAAGGCAGCACAGTTGGGTAAACACTCCCGTATTTATGCCTGAGTCACCCGGAGGGAGCCCTTTCTCATCCCTGAACCTCTTGCACACAAGCAAGGTAGATGCTTCTCCGGGTCAGGTCCCTCCTCCTCAGCCCTTTTTCCTCAGACAAAAGCCAATTCAAGCCCTTCAGGCCATTCCAAGAAAGTTCTTAGAACAGAGCCTTGCTGGATGGGGTGCAGCCTCAGCTGGACACCTGTGAAGGGGAGGCCCTGTGTGTTAAGAGTTACAGCTCTGAGGGGAAAGGGATCCCCAGGACAAGTGTTGCAGCTCTGAAGGCAAAAGTATCCTGGCAGTCGGGAGTCAAGGAATACCACGAAGTCACACCGTGGGAACAAACCTCACATAAGAGATTTCTTGGGAAAGACGTAAGAGGGTGGCTGCCTCTGCTCAGATAAGAAGTAGAGAACTGAATGGGGAGGCAGGCTTTATATAGGGTTTCTTGGGGGCAGAGTTTTCCAGATTGGAGATTTCCAGGGTGATATTTGGTAGGATTTCAAGTCCTGGGTTTGGGATGAGCCCAGGGATTGGTCGTAGGTTTTTCAAAATCCAGAAGTAAGGTTGGACTTTTTACCCTGCCCTGTCTGCGCACGTCAGTCTTTGACAGAAGCAACTCTCAGGAAACTGGGAACCATTTTCAGGGAAGGTTTGTCTCTACCATCAGACAACAAACTCTACTGGCCTGGACTGAGGCAAACTGAACTTGTAGGGTAAAAGGTCTAAGTCCACTTTGGAAAGCGACCAAACCCCACCAATCTCTGAGCATAAAATCCCATCACTTCTTGGCTTGGCTTGACATATCACCAATCCCCACCCCGGAAATCTCCTTCTCAGTTCACTGCTGCTCGAGGAGAGACGGCAACCCTCATGTGTTTCTTCCAATAAATAATCTCCTGTGTGAGGTTATTGTTTGTGGTATTCTCTGGCTCCTGACAGCCAGGTTACCTTTCCCTTCAGGGTCGTAACATCTGCATTAGGGAAACTTTTCCCCTCAGAGCAGAGCTGTAACACTTCCATTGGGGAAACTTTCCCTCTCAGAGAAGCCACACCTCCACTGAGGAAACATTCCCCCTCAGAGTAGCAACACCTCTGTGGTGGTTTGAAAGAAAATGGGCCACCAAAGGGAGTGGCACTCTTAGGAGGTGGGCCTTGTTGGAGGAGGTGTGGCCTTGTTGGAGGAAGTGTGTCTCTTGTCACTGTGGGGGCTTGCTTTGGGGTCTCTTTTCTTAAGCTTCACCAAGTGTGACAATCAGTTGACTTCCTGTTGCCTGCAAGATGTAGGACTCCCAGCTATTCCCCCAGCACCCTGTCTGCCTGCACGCCACCATGTTCCCCACCATGATGATAATGGACTGAACCTCTGAAACTATAAGGAAACCCTCCCCCAACAATGAAATGTTTTGTTTATAAGAGTTGCTGTGGTCATGGTGTCTCTTCACAGCAATAAAAAACCCTAACTAAGACAGCCTCCTTTGGGGAAGCCTCTCCCCTCAGCTGTAACACCTGTATTAGGGAAGTGTTCTGAGAACCTTTGTTCTTACCACTTCTCTAACTCCTGAGATACCCCTCCCCAAGGATCCTTCTGTGTGGCTTTTTTTTGAATCAGACTTTAAACGTGACTGATTCTGGAGGTCACATAGCTCCACTGTATCTGCTTGTTGCCACAGAAGACCTCTCTGAGATGTGCAGTATGAGGCTAGCGCCTGCTACATTACTTTCCAAGGACTTCAAGGCAGTTTGCTGTTGTTTTATCAAAACCATTTAAGTCTTGAACTGGGGAGGTGGCTCAGTTGGACAAGCGCTTGCCTTGCAAGTAGGAGTTCGATTCTTAGAACACCAGTTTCAAAACAAAGTTGGCATGGTGGCAACTGCTCATAATCCTAGCTGTGGGGTAACAGAGACCACAGGTCTCTGGTGTCTTCCAGCCTGCCAGCCTAGTCGACTTGGCACAAGGTCCATACTGGTAAGAGCATGCCACAAAACAAAACAAAATCCCACAGGTGCTGGGAAATGACACCCAAGTTGCCTTCTGGCTTATATGCATAGGTATACACACACACACACACACACACACACACCCCACCTCTTGACGTGGGCCCACCTGGGCGACTGATGGGTGACCTTTTGCTATTCGAAGGCTGAAAACTCCAATCTTAGATCAAGCTACAACCATTCTGAACATACGCTCTCATTAAAACCATGCATTTATTTATTTATTTATTTATTTATTTATTTATTTATTTATTTATTTATTATTATGTATACAATATTCTGTCTGTATGCCTGAAGGCCAGAAGAGGGTGCCAGACCTCTTTACAGATGGTTGTGAGCCACCATGTGGTTGCTGGGAATTGAACTCAGGACCTTTGGAAGAGCAGGCAATGCTCTTAACCACTGAGCCATCTCTCCAGCCCCTAAAACCATGCTTTTACAATGCACACACAGACCACACTCCATTTCACCTCCATCCTTTCCGAATGCCATTCAGTGCCCTGTTCCCTACTCCATTAATCCTACATTGCAGGAGTAGACTGAAGATTCGGTTGCCCGGCTCTACCCCCAGCTGCCTTGCAAAACTCCCTCCAGTGATTGGCACATTGTGTGGCAGACAATTAGGACCTGGTTTGGTACTGCTCTCAAGGAAGGCTAAGGCATGTCATTCAAGAACAGCCACACTGGCCAGTTAGTTAGTCTAGTCAATCAGTGAGACCCAAGTTCAATGAGAGACCCTATCTCAAAGGACAAGATGAAGAGAGATAGGGAAATACCCTTGATATAGGCCTCTCGTTTCCACAGGTGCACACACACATTGATACACACACACACACACACACGCACACGATCCAATTTGAAAGGGTTGCACTAGTCAAATATGAGATCATACAACATAATGTCAATAAATAAAAAAAAAAAAACCACTGTTCCACCCCGATAAAAGTAACTTAATGGCTTCGGTTGGCAAGATGGAGCAGCAGGGAAAGTGTTTGCTGCGCAAGCCTGGCTACTTGGGTTCAATCCCTGAAACTCACATAAAGGTAGAAAGAGGGAACTGGCTCCACAGAATTGTCCTCTGACCTCCTCACACGGGTTACAGTATGTGCCCTCCAAATGAGCACACACATAGTGGTTCTCAACCAGATCTCCTGCATATCATATATTTACATTATGATTCATAACAATACCAAAATTACAGTAACAAAGTAGCAATGAAATAATTTTATGGTTGGAGTCACCACAACAGAGGAACTGTATTAAAGGATCATAGCTTTAGGAAGGTAGAGGACCACTGCACTAAAGTAATAAATAAGAAATATATTTTCTGTCTTTTTGACATAGGGTTTCTCTGTGTTGCTCTGGCTGTCTTGTTACTTGTTCTGTAGACCAGGCTGGTTTCAAACTCAGAGATCAGCTCGCCTGTGCCTCCCTAGTGCTGGAATTATAGGCATTCGTCACCATTTAATTCTTAAAAATTTTCAAAAGTTAAAGAGTTGAATTCTTGATAGAAAACTATCAAATAATAAATAATAGTTTAATAATAAAGTTGAAGGGATGATGAAATCAAGTCAACTTTTTGTACCAAAGAGTAACTGATGCCCCCCAGTGTCCTCAATGAATGCTATGTCACCAGGGTCAAAGGATGCTTGGGAACGTTGTATTTACCAGTCTCAAAGTATCAGTCCACTTATTTACTCATTAATTAAGAAAAGGGGGGGTTGGGGTGGGAGAGATGGTTCAGAGATTAAGAGCACTGGCTGTTAATCGAATTCAGGTTCGATTCCCAGCACCCACAGTTTGGCTGGAACAACTCCAATTCCAGGGGTGACCATGTATGTGTGTATGTATGTATGCAAAGGCTGCCAGGTATCTTGGAACCGAAGTTACTGATGGATGAGCTACTATGTAGGTGCTGGGGATTGTAACCCTAGTCCTCTGGAAAATCAGCGAGTACTCTTAATTGCTGAGCCATCTCTCCAGCTCCCACCCCATAGTCTGCATAACCTATTATTCTATAAAATGTGTACCCTGACTGGATCCCGGGGTTTGAGAAAAGAGCAACATAGGACATTGTTGGGCAGCTGGGGCACCAACAGTGGCTAACAGTGCTGAAGTCATTTATGTTTTCCGTTAGTTTTGTTATGGCAGCAGAGGAAACTGTCCCTGGCTGGGGGTGGGGATGAGGGCGGGGGCGAAGGGGGGTAGCGGAGTGAGGGTACTACAACTAACTAATGTCAGGTGGCGGGGAGGAAAGAGATGAAACGAAAGAATGAAACCTAGGCAGCTGTTCAAAGTTGCTATTTTAAGGCTCAGGGGCCTTGAATGCAGATTGGACTTTCCCCAAAAACCTTCCTGGGGACCAAGGTGAGACTGAATCCTGCCTGCCAGGGAGCCTTGCTGGGCTGTCAGGCTAGGGCCTCAGCCTTTTGCACCCCTCCACGAGCTGCCCCCTCCTTGCGGGGCTGGTCACGTCTCCTGGTCCCACCACTGTGCACCAGATGTTCCTTTAGGTAGGAGCTTTGCAGCAGGGTAAACTGAGGTATTGGGACGGGCAGGCTCCGAGCCTGCACTGTGGAGTCCATATTTGCGAGGAGTGGGGTGTGTGCGGGGGCGGGGGTGTAAGGGCGTGGGCGGGGCGGGGCTGGCCCTGCTGTCAATCTCAAGCCCGCCGCCGCCGACTGGCGGGCCTGGTGGGCTCCGAGTCAGCTCACTGTCTTCACCAATCGCCGAGCGCGGCTCGCGAAATTCACTTCCAATTGGTCTTCCGTGATACTACGTCACCTTGGGGGCAGAGCTTCAGGCAGACACTTGGGGCACGGTTGGAGAGCGCGGGTCAACCGCCTGGACTACGCGAGCAGGTGAGGTTCTGCGTGCACTGACCAGGACAGAGTCCGCGATTGGGACCGTGCACACAGACAGGGAAGTGGGGGGCGTCGAGAGCTCAGGAGAAGGGGCCGTATGTACAGATTGTGTGTGTGTGGGGGGGCAAGTATTCAGCAAAGGAAGCGGTGTGTGAGATGGGAGGATGTGCTTGTGAACTGCATGTGTTTGTCGATTGGGGCATGCGCGTTTGCACAGGTTTTGGGGAGATTGGGGAACAGATTGCAGATTTGGGGGCGTGTGCGCAGGTTAGGAGACCAGTGTGCAGATCGGGGGCATGTGCACAGGAGAGGGGGCTACGTGCTCGAGTTTGGAGAGATGTGTATTTGGGGAAGAGGACTGTGGGCCCGGCGGCGGGGGAAGGTGCTTGCTCAGATAGGTAGGTGAACCTGCGAGCAAGTATGGCGGTGGACCTTGCTTTACTTTGCTTAGCTGGGGCCTGTGGGTAGGAGAGGCAGCCATGCCCTGTGGGATGAGGACCCAGCTCCCTGGGGGACCTGTCAATGCTCAGGTGTAATAGAGGCAAATGTAGACACACCCCTTGGCCTACGCTCCTACCCCAGGGTTTGTACAGCTTAGTGAATCTCTTCAGTAGAAGCTGAACGATTCCAGTTATTCTCCCAGGAGACAGATGGATTGTCTGCTGGCATGAGGGTTCTGGGAAGCTCTAGGCATATCTGGCCTCCCCAGGTTGTGGAGAGTTCCCAGTCGCCCTGAAGATCAAGATGGGTTTTCAACCATCAAAAAATTGTTTGAATTCAGGAAGAATTCAAACAATAGGATGTCTTCAGTTTTTTGAGCTGCTTCTGATAGAATCTTCCTGAAAGTAGCCGAAGGACATAGTGGGTCTGCATGCCAGGAAGAGGTTCACCGGGCAGGGTACAGTAATGCCGTGCTGCCAGAAAATTTGGTAAAAAAACAGCTTTTGGACAGAAAGGTGGCCCAGTAGGGATGTGTAAAGGATAATCCGCGAAACAGTCTGGGAGGGAATGAGGCCTGAGATGGACTTGGGAGGAGAAAACACTTTGTTTCACGTCTGGCGTTTATTTTGGAACTTCTGTAAAGCAGAGAGCCTGTGGCTTTGTTTAGAACCAGAAATTCCAAAGAATCAGAGATGGGGGACAGGTCATTCCCTCCCTCCTTGGGCTTATGCTTATTTCTGGGGGCTTCAGGAACTGCCGTTCCTCCACAGGACCCCAAGCTTTCAAGACAAGTCAGGTCAGAGTTCTGCAGCCATGGGTCCCTCCAGAAGCTAGCCTCACTTGACCTGGGGAAAGCGGTGGGGCACAGTGGACTCACAGAGGCCGTTTAATTACAGAAGCTCGTCTGTCGGAAAAAGAGAGGAAAGCTCAACTTGCCCCCATTTGTGATGCTCCTGGAGGATCCAAGTGGAACCCCTCGTCTTCTGAGTCCTTCCATGATAGGGAGGGGCTGGCCTCCACTGACACCTGCAGAGCCGGCTTTTTGTGGCACTAGGTGCCAGAGCATCTGATTTCTTTGGTGATTGTCAGTGGGTGTGACATAAGTTTTCGTGTCCATACAAGGCCCTGCAGGAAGTCCTTGCATCTGCCTGCTGGCACCGCCCCGCGCATTTCCCAGGGTAATTTCCTCTCAGTACATGGCAGGTGGACACGCTTCTCACCACTCACCCATTTCCAGGATTCACTGCCTTTTCGTCTTAAAATCCAGCACCATACCCAGGGTCACAAATCTCCAGATAGGACACCCTATTGCTTCTGGAAAATTCCAGTGACGTGGAAGGTCCCTGGAATCTGATATGCAAAGTTAGCCATGTCATCATTACTCCACTGCGTCCCAGTGTGCCAGAAGTGGAGCTTCAGACCCAGCCTTGCCTCCTAGGCCGTGTTGGCAGTCAGCATATTGCCCTGCCTTTCCCTTCCCCAGTCTGTCTCGTCTCGTCTGTGAAGTAGGCGGGTGTGACATTGCTCCTTCTTCATTTAGGCTGGGCACCCGGCTCTTGGTAGCTGCTGGTGATGGGGTGTGTCGCCTGTGACAGCCCCAGCAGCAGCTTCTCTAGCCCTACCTTCCTGCTGCACCTTCAGGATGTGAAATGACTGAGCTGTGGCCACTAAGGTCTGGTGATGTCTCATATCCCCCAAGGCCAGGTCTGAAAGGCTCCCCTTTTCCCAGCACTGCCCTTGGGAGTGTGCTCACTGCCTCAAGGCCACCCGTGAGGTAGGCCACAGCAGTCCTTATGGGCCTGCGAGAGGGGAGTCTGGGCACCTAAGGCTCTAATGTACAGCTGACTACTCCACGACACTCCCCTGCAGCCTATCCTCCCATAATTTCTGACCTGCAGAAACCATGAGAGATACCAAAAGGTTTGTTTTGGTTTGCCATGGCCCCGTAACTGGAAGGTTCGTCTGTATGGCTCAGCATCGCGGGTTTGTGCTTTCTGCTGATTTAGTAGGTGTCTGCTGACCTCTACGCATGCTTCCTTCCACAGGATAAATAAATAATAATAATTAAAAGCTGTAGTGGCATACACCTATAACCCTAGTCCTTAGGAAGTGAAGGCTAAAGTCAGAAATCCAAGGTGATTCTCAGCTACACAGCAAGTTCAAGGCTACATGACCATCCAGAAGGACAGACCTGCCACCTTCCTCCGTCCCGAGTGTCACCTCTCAAGGTCACAGGCTTTCTGCTTTTAGAACCAGCCATGCTGGGAGCAGTAGTTTTCTCTACAGGTTGTTTCCATCTCAGATGTTGGCCCCCTGAGAGGCCCCTCCCCTCAGATCTACTTTTGTGGATGTTTTTCCAGTTGCTGTGTATGGATGGTGGCTTAGTGTGTCCCTTGACTGTCTCCTGCCTTTGGCTTTCTTGACCTGGGTCATATAATTTCCTTTTTTTCTTTTCTTTTTTTTTATTGTTGTTTGTTTTGTTTTGTTGTTGTTTGCTTTGTTGTTGTTGTTTTGTGTTGCTGTTGTTGCTGTGCTGACCTGGAACTCACTATGTAGACCAGGCTGGCCTCAAACTCACAGAGATCTGTCTGCTTCTGCCTCCTAAGTGCTGGGATTAAAGACGAGCATCACCGTGCCTGGTCCAATGGTTTCAAGTGGAACACCAGGGAACTGTCTTCATCTGTCTTTAATGATGATCAACACAAATCCTCGGGGCCATAGACTTACGTGCCATGGGACATTTAATCTGCCCCCGACTCTCTTGCATTCCTGTAGAGATTGGTTCCCAGTCCAGGTTGTTTTCTGAGCTACTCTCTTTTGGCATCTCAGTGGTTTCTATTATGTTCCATGGTAATGTGCCAGCTTCAGGGTAAGGGACAGACGACTCCCGGGAGTGCCAGGATGGTTTTACATGTGCAGGTGTGGCTGTCAGCATTCTATGGAATCTGTTAACATCTGTGGCCTGCCTGTGCTGAGTTCAGCACTTTTGAGCCTCTATGAAAATCTCCACCCACGCGTACTCCAGTGCTCCCTCTCTGTTGCATGTTGAGTGACAAGCCCTGAGCCTGTCCTCTGCTTGATATCAGCAGTGGACTTGATACGTGCAGTGTGGATCCTTACCTGCCTTTGAATTGACATTTCCGCTCCCTGGTTACTTGGTGGCCTCTGTCAAAGGTGTATCTCTGTATGCGGCTGAGGATTGAGCAGACCTTGGGGGACTTCTGAGCCTGGGCATGTCAAGAGCCCTTCTAAGAAAAACAGCTTCATTCTTGTGAAACCTCTGGCCCAGAGGTCAAAGGTAATTATGTCGCTCACAGTGTCTGTGAGCATGGGCAGTGGCAGTGAGGCACTGCTTTAAGAACTGAAGAATGGGCTGGAGAGGTGGAAAAGATTACTGGCTGCTCTCGCAGAGGACCTGGGGTTGATGCCCAGCACCCATGTGGTGGCTCACTGTTAACTCCTGCGGGTCCAGGGGACCTGACATTCTCTTCTGCCCTCCGTGAGAACCGCATGCACACGGTGCAGACATATATGCAAGCAAAACCCCACACAGATAAGATAAAAATACAGTCTCTACAAAGCAGCCTCCAAATGAAGAAATGAGTGCACCAGTCACATGTTGGTTGTTCTACAAGGCTCAGGACCCTTGGGCCCCTCTACCCAGCTGCCCTGCACAGGCTGTACTTTTCCACAGAACTTGGTACCTGCAACAGAGGTGTGGCCAGAGACATGCCCTCCAAATAAATTCAAAATACTTACTTTTCTATTTTTTCAGAGTCTCATGTAGACCAAGTTGGTCTTGAACTCCTAATCCTCCTGTCTCTGTCTCCCAAGTGCTGGGGTTATAGGCGTGCACTACCATGCGCAGTTTATGTCCTGTTGGGGATGGAACCCCAGACTGTGTGCACATACCAACTCTACCCACTGAGCCACAGCATTTTAATTCCACTCCATTTACTTTTTTTTTTTTTTTTGAGGGAGGAGGTATGCCATAGTGTATAGAGGTCAGAAAACAACCTTTAGGAGTTGGTTCTCCCTCTACCACCGGGGTCCCAGGATTGAACTCAGGCTGTCAGCCTCAACAGTCAGCCCCTCTACCCACTGAACCATCTTGTCAGCTCTTTATTTTTTTTCATCCTAGAAGATGCATGTTATTGCTAGGTGTGGTGGAGCACAGTGACAGGAAGGCTGAGACAGAAAGATTGCTGTGAGTTCTAGGCCAGTCTAGGTTACAGAGGAAGACCCTGTCTCCCAAAACCCAGAAAGATGGTGCATTCCGTGGGCAGCGTGGTTTAGCGTCTTCAGTGTCAAGGTCTGAAGTTCTTTCCTCATTGGCTTTCGCAATTTTCTAGCATGTTAGATTATCAGAGAGTAGTGTTGGTGCCAAGCTTTATATCCTCGGGGCTTATCTGTGAATCAGGGCCAGAAGAATGCTACTCTCCTCCGTTGAGCCTCCTGGAAGGCGTGTGGGCACGTGGCCCTGGGTTTGCTGTGGTTAGTGTAGGCACCAGAGATAGAGGAGATAGGGGCACTGTTGGCTGCTGCATGGGACTGCAAATGGGCTCACACGCCATGTGCACTGTGTGTGCTGCTGGGCAAGAAAAAAAGTGACAGCTGCCGGGGATGGGCTGTCAAAAGCAGGCTGATAGATCCAGGCAGCACGGGCTCTGAGGCAAGAATTGCCGGAGAGCAAGGACTTCTTAAAGGCAGGCCTCTTCCCAAGCCCGCTTTTCTTTTTCTGAGTGTCCTTCGTGCACGTGTACACACATGCATACACCACATGCTTTTGGGGTTTGTCAGGGGCTCTCTGTTTTCTTTGAGGCAGGAGGCGGTCTTTCTGGTAAACCCGGAGCTCTTACACAGCTAGTGTCACTGGCAGTTTGCCGTGGGAATCCTGTCTCTGCTCTCTGGGGCTAGAATTACAGATGAACTGCCATGCTTATCGGGCATTTGTGTGGGTCACAGAGAGCCAAACTCTGGTCCTTAGGCATCTGAGCAGGCAAGTGCTTGAACCTCAGAATCCTACCCCTGTCTGGGGCAATTCTCTTTCCCTACATCCGTTCTACAGGTATAAGCAGGGAGTACCTGGAGAGCCTCCCTGCAGTGTGTTAGGGCTGCACCGAGGGGCCTGGCTGTCTCGTGCTCCACTCTTGCTGCAGAAGCTGTCCCTGCCGCTGCAGCTCTCCCTCCCATTACGTGACAGAGTACCTTTCACCATGGAGAATGTAAATTTTGAGAACAGTGATAGTCTCTCACTAAACAAATCAAGATGTCAGAAACATTTTTGTTTGTTTGTTTGTTTGTTTATGAAAGTTAGTCCTAGGAGCCAGGAAGACAGCTCACTGGGTAAGACTGCTTGCTGCTGTATTAGTGTGAGAAACAGGGTTCAAAACCCTGACAACCACAGAAAAGCCTGGAATGGACACGTGTGTATCAGGCTGTCTTTCGGGCCACCAACCAGCTCCCAAATCATGATATGGGACTTCTTACTAGTTATGAATGCTCGGCCTTATCTTATGCTTGTCCCACTAGCTCTTATAACTTAAATTAACGTGTTTCTCTTTATCTACATTTTGCCTTGGGGCTTTTTATCTTTCATTCTGTTCATCCTACTGCGGGTGTGGCTGGCGACTGACTGGCCCTGGACATCTCCCTTTCTTTCTCCCTCCTTCTCTCCTCCTCTCATTCTTCTTGAGCCTAGAGTTTTCCTCCTGTTTTTTCTCTCTGCCCTCCAGCCCCACCTATCCTTTCTCTGCCTAGCTCAGTCAGGTGCCTTAGGCAGGCAAGGTGAAACAGCACCTCATCTTTACATAATTAAACCAATGCAGCAGAAACAAATGTGACACACCTTTACATAATTAAGATAATAGTCCACAGCAGAGGTGCCTGTAATCCCATCACTGGGGGTGGATGTGTAGCCAGCATCCCAGGATCTGCCCTTGCTCTGGCATTTTCCCTTGGCGGTTTTGTTTTATGTATTTTATGAGTATGGTGTTTACCTGCCTACGTATTTGTTTACCACATTCATGCAGTATCCATGGAGGCCAGGAAAGGGCATTGGAACTGGGGTTTCAGATGGTTGTGAGCTGCCAGTGCTCCTAACCCAAGCCATGTCTCCAACCCCAACTCCTTTAGCAGCTCTTTTGAATCCATTTTCTAGGTCTCGTGCTGGTTTTATTCCATAATGAACTTTTTTTTTTTTTTTAATGTTTGAGACAGGGCCTCACTATTTAGTGTTGGCTGGCCTAGGACTCACAGTGTTGGCTAGGTTGGCCTCAGGCTCATAGAGATCTACCCGCTTTTGCCTCCTGAGTGCTGGGATTAAAGATTTATGCCACCAAGCCCAGGAAGGAACAGAATTCTAGTCAAGGAAAAAAAAAAGTTGTTATAGAATTTTCCACTTACTGCCTCTCATTCAGTTGACTCTCAAGATATCTAAGCATACTGTTCTCCCCTTTAAATTTTTATTACATTTAAAAATCGTGTGTGTGTGTGTGTGTGAACATGTGCCATGGAGTGTGTGAGTGGAGGCCGGAAGACAACTTCTGGGAGTTGTTTTTCCTCTGCCATGTAGTCCTGTGGATCAGACTCAGGTTGTCAGATTTGGTGACAAGCATTCTAATCTGCTGAACCATCCTGCCAGCCCTGCTATGGCTCTAATCCTGTTTTCTCTGATGACTTTTATGCGTGTGTATTTGCATGTGTGCAAATATGTGTTCATGTGGAGGCCACTGGAGGTCAATGTTGGGTGTTCTTCCTGGCTCTCCCACCTTAGCTTTTGAGATAGCATCTCTTACTGAACTTCCAGCTGTCTGATTTGGCTAGACTGCCCGCCAGAGAATCCCAGGGGTCCTCCTGTCTCTGCTTCCTTCCCAGCACTGGGATTGCAGGGCCTCTGCTGGCGAGCCTGAACTTTGGTTCATGTGCGTGCTGGGGACTGAACTGGGGTCCTTGTGCTTGCACAGTAGATACTTTACTGACTGGGCGCTCTCCACTTAAAGTCCCTCTGTGGGCTTTACGATAGCATTTTAAATCCCTGGCTTTTTAAAACTTTACAAACTAGACTTGTTTTAGAGGTGACGGGGAAGCACTGAGTGGGGGAGATACCTGGAGACCTTATCTCTGAAGTGTCCCCCAAGGTACTTACTGTTCTAGGCCCTGGTGGCGGAGAGATGAATAGGGAGCTGCCTTCTACTGGAGGGAGGCGGACAGTGCACATCCATGAACCCAAATAAAGCATGCCTGCACTGTGAGCATTAAATTAAAGGAACAAGTTACCCAGGATGGAAGCTGCTTGCTGTTAGATGGTATAGTCTACTGAGAAGGGGGCCTGTCATACTAGTACTGAACAAGAAGCCTTTGAGCATGCTCAGAGCAGAGGATGTAGTGGGCACTACAAGGAAAGCCAAGAGTCATATTCAAAGATGGTGAAGATTTCTCGCGGAGTCTGGTGGAGCAGGGTTGTGGCAGACAGAGCGAGTCCTTGCCTAAGAAGGACATCTGCCACAGCTGGGAAAGGAATTAATGAGCCGGGTCAGAGGTGGGGAGGCCTGGTTGGAGGGAGGAGCCTAAAGCACCTTCTCCCCCGCCCCTGGAATCTGGTGTGGGTGAGCAGGTACTGAGAAGCTGTAAAAGGCGCCTGTTCTGATCAGTGATCAGTGCTCAAGTCCTGGTGGGGGTCTGGCTTTCTGGAACAATCTGAGACCCTCCTCTTTCCTCAGGACCTGATGGCTTCCAAATCACAGCACAACGCCTCCAAAACCAAGAGTCTGAATGGCAAGGCTGAATCTCAAGGACAATGGGGCCGTGCCTGGTAAGGGGCTCACGTGTTTTACTAGCTAGAGGGTGAACTGTGATCTCAAGGGTTTCAACTTCAGGGATGTTATGAACCTAGAATAAAAAAATACATTATTTTATTTAAAGACAAATGAAAGATAAGCTGTTTCCTATTCTACAAAATAAAGTATTGAAACGAAGACCCTGAAACCATTTTGGAGTGCTTGGGCTGGAAGTAGTCTCATGTCTGAGTTTTTCCCCTTGTATATTGAGATATCCCGGGTGTATATCCTGAGCTATCTTAGGGAGAGGACTCATAAGCACCAGTGCTCAAGGCCTGAAGGTAACTTCTGAGATCTTTTCAGCGTGCTATGTTTTAAATGCAACTTGTCACCTGAGGTCAGGTGTGCGACTTTCCTCTGCCTTGCTCTGCCAGGATTCTAGGTATTTCAGATGGTCTAAGGGCCATCTGGAGCCCTGCCATCAACCTAGGGACCCTGTGTTGGTGTCATGGTGTTCTCTCTGCCATTGAGCCATGTGAGTACCTGGGTATTAAAGAGTCTTCCCTGGCTAAGGACCAAGAAAGCTACTGACCTTGAGGGTCATGAAGAGCCCCCTGCCCTCATGTCTGGGCTTTTTGTCATGGCCACAGATAGGGCACCTTCTGGTGATGACACAGGAGCAACATGAGTGACCCGCCTTGGCTGGAGAGTTTGCTGAATGGATATCCTTGCCCATCAGGTTCTGAGTGGTGTGGAGAGTCCCACACATACAAGGACACCTTGGAGACCCCCCATGTGGCCCAAGGAGATTGGAGAGACCCCTGTAGGGCTCCAGGGACAGAGCGAGTCTCAAAGGGATGGAAGGGTGTCTTAGATACCCTGCCATGGGGTCTGAGGGACAAAGGGGAATCTCAGATTCCTCCATAGGGCCCAAGGAATGAAAGGGACATTTCAGAGGCCCCTGTGAGGTTCAAGGGCTGGGAGGGTATCTTAAAAATCTCCATCATGGGCTCCCAAGGATGGAAGGAAGTTTGTACGTCCTCTGGCGGGGGGGGGGGGGGGGGGNGGGGGGGGGGGGGGGGGGCTTGAGAACAGGAGGCCTGATGGTGACCGCCCTTTGTCCTTCTCTCAGGGAAGTGGATTGGTTCTCCCTGGCCAGCATCATTTTCCTGCTGCTCTTCGCCCCGTTCATCGTGTACTACTTCGTCATGGCGTGTGACCAGTACAGCTGCTCGCTGACCACCCCCGCACTGGACATAGCCACCGGTCGTGCTAGTCTGGCAGACATCTGGGCCAAGACACCACCTGTGACAGCCAAAGCCGCCCAGCTGTACACCTTGTGGGTCAGCTTCCAGGTTGGTCCTCTGCCTTGGGGGCTGGGTGCGGTGGATTGGGAAGGTGCTCTACTGCTCGGGTCTTGTCAGAGGAGCAGACTTCTAACCCAGTGGTGCTCCCACTCTCAGGATGCAGCAGTTGCCTAGAATCAATTATATAGAGGGGAAACATGTGTGTCACCTTGTAACCGTCATGGTTTCCAGCCCCTGACTGTAGATCAACAGCATGGCCTATCAGGCAGTGAATGAGACCTAAGCTGCTGCTTCCACAGGTTGCCAGAGAGTCATGGTCAATGGTGTCTTTGTCTGTGATGCAGCCTCGTTGACCTAAACTAGGTCACTAAGCAGGAGCAGCCTTCACAGGTTGGGTGTTGGGCAGGGTAAAGGAACCGCATGAAACACCAGGCAACTTGCTTTTCCCAGGCAGAATTTTGTATGGAGACTACTTGTCTCCCACTCCAGGGTCCCCCTCCTTTTCCTTCCCCAGGCCTCTGGGTGAGAAGGATAGCACGAGTCATGGGAGCCAAAGCATAGAAAGAGCCCAGCTGTCCAGTGGAGGACAGGATAAATAACGTGGTCTTTCCATAAGTCGAATACTATTAGACTATGGAAAGGAATGAGCTCTGGTACAGGCTGCTCTTTGGACTAGTGTTGGAAACTGCCAGACGCTAAGACCAGACCGAGTATTTGCATTGATGTGAAACATCCAGGATGTTTCATTCTCACAGGCTGGAAGGATTGGTGCTTACCAGGGACTGCTGGGGGCAGTTGACAAGGGGAACAGGGTGTCCCCTTTTTTAAAATTAAAAACATTTTTTAATAAAGATTGATTTATTTTGCTGGGTGGCGGTGGTAAATGCCTTTAATCTCAGCACTTGGGAGGCAGAGGCAGGTGTATCTCTTGAGTTTAAGGCCAGCCTGGTCTATAGAGTGAGTTCCAGGATAGCCAGGGCTGCACAGAAGAAAGCCTGTCTCAATGTCTGCCCCCCCCCCCCCGCAAAAAAAAAAAAGATTTACTTATTTTATGTGTGTGGGTGTTTTTCCTATATGTATGTAGTACCCAGTGGAAAACAGAAGAGTGTGGCAGAGGATCCCTGGGACGTGGCTTACAGATAATTGTGAGCTGCCATGTAGGTGCTGGTGCTGGGAATCGAACCATGTCCTCTGGGGGAGCAACCAGTGCTCTTTACAGCCAAGTTGTTTTTCCCCCATCCTAGGGTTCTCTTTGGTAGAATTCTAAGATCAAACTGTGGTAATGGTTGCCAGGGCTTGTGAACATATTATATGATCTGAACAGTGATGTTGAAGGGGGGGGGGGGCAGGTCTCATGGGGGAATCTTGGTGCTTTTAAATGGCCTTAAAAAGGGATTGGGAGGACCCATGTGTTCGACTTGGAAGGTTACAAGGCTACAGCCAGGGGTAGGATTTTACACATTTGGCGGGAAGCCTGCCTCGCTCCTGGAGCACTGAGCTTTGTGTCTTGTGTTCATATCTGTCCAATAAAACCAGACCGGGTCAAATCACAGCTATCCCCTACAGGCTGCCAATCTTTCCAACTAAAATTCTGTTTTAGGTGCTTCTTTACTCCTGGCTTCCTGACTTATGCCACAGATTTCTGCCAGGCTATGTGGGAGGTGTCCAAGAAGGTGCCATAACTCCAGCAGGTAACCTTTGCCCCTGAGCTGGTAGCTGTCTTGCCCTAGCCACCCCGTGTCCCTGGTTCCCAGAGTTCTCCCATCCTACGTCCCAGACAAGAACTAATTTAGTTTGGATGGGATCCACTAAGCATCCATTCCATTATAGACATGGCAGCTTCCTCACTCAGCAGTGCCGTCCCTGACTCTGCTGCCACTACTTCACTACTTCATAACGATATGGCAAACCCAGCCTTACCACTAACCCATGGGTCATCTCTAAAAACCCTCAAGGAGCCCAGCTTCATACACTAATGTCATGGGCTGGAATCCTACCTGTTTCTCTAGCCGAGAGGTCTCAGAGAGGTACTGCAGCAAGCACAAGTGGAGCCTGGGAGGACATAGGGTTGGCCTTGCCTTACCTGCCACTTGATTGACCTTCCCAACACCTTACAGACCTAAAGAGCTCAAGAAGAATCTCGTAGAGGTTTCCCCACTCTGGCTATAGCAGGAACAGCCACTTTCTCACCGTGTGAGGGGTGCCACTGGCTTGAAAGCCTGGGTATTCAACAGAAGATGCCCCTTCTGGAATGGTACCTGGGGGCTCCAGTCAGGGGTCTACAGCGGCAGAGGCCAAGGAGCAGGTAGGGTGTGAGGCAGGTACACAGCAAGGCCGTGTGGTCCACCGAGGGTGCTCTGTGTGATTCTCCTTCTGCAGGGGTTGTAAACAAGTATGAAGTGAACGGGCTGCAAGCCTGGCTCATCACTCACCTCCTCTGGTTTTTGAATGCCTACCTCCTAACCTGGTTCTCCCCCACCATCATCTTTGACAACTGGATCCCACTGCTGTGGTGTGCCAATATTCTGGGCTATGCTGTGTCCACGTTTGCAATGATCAAGGGCTACCTGTTCCCCACCAATGCTGAAGACTGGTAAGTTCCTCAACGGCTGGTCAAGCCTAGCATGGATGGTGGATACCTCCACCCGGGGTTGTCTGCTCCTCTGCAGACAAGTGGAGAAGCCCTGAGACGGAAGATCTTGGATCAGCCATTTGAAAGTCTGGATTTTCTTGCTTTAGAGGTAACCAAGGCTATCATGGGAGTAGTTAAACCAGAAGGACAACTGACTGAGGCAGAGGTAGATTATTGTCTCCTTCTTTGGATTATCTCTTGTGAAATAGCCTTAGCCTTGTTATTTTTACTGTAGCTCCTTCCAAGGAGAGCCCTGCTTGCTTAAAGCATTTTCAGGGAAACTGAGTTAGAGGCCAACCATCAGTTCCATTCCATCTACCTACCCATCCATTTACTCATCTGTCCATCTGTCTGTCCACCCACCCACCCACTTATCCTCTATTTACTCATCCATCTACCCACACAACCATTTATCTATCCATCTACCCACCTGTTCACCCATTCACCCACCTATCTATCACATCTATCTATGCGCTCATCCTCCTACCTGCCAACCCATCCATTCATCCACCTATCGTACACTCACTCATGTATCTATTTATCCATCTGCCTACCCTCCTGTCTACCCATATACCCACCCATCTACTTATCCATCTATCTGTCTACCCTTCCTCCCATCTTTCCACCTACTCACCCCCCCCCATCCATTCACCCATCGACAGATATTTGGTGAGGTCTTCTGGAGTTTTTAATTTTTTCTGGGAATCCAGATGAGAACAGTGCATCTCCCCCTTAGCTGTTGGATTGACTTTGGGGAACCAGCCTCAGATGAGAATGCTGTGTGACTTATGTTTCCCTGCGCTGCAGGTTCCTGCCGTACTGCCTTTTGTGGCTCCCAGAGCTGTTGCTGCTTTGGCAGATGTGATGTTTTTTTTTTTTTGTTTTTGTTTTTTTTTTTTGTTTTTGTTTTTTTTTTTTGTTTTTGTTTTTCGAGACAGGGTTTCTCTGTGGCTTTGGAGCCTGTCCTAGAACTAGCTCTGTAGACCAGGCTGGTCTCGAACTCACAGAGATCCGCCTGCCTCTGCCTCCCGAGTGCTGGGATTAAAGGCGTGCGCCACCATCGCCCGGCAGACGTGATGTTTTAGTTCTTTCTGCTTAGCCCGACTGTGGGAAGTAGACATGAGAACCTGCTAAGCTAGCTAGCAGTAATCCCTGTGCATGCACAGTAGGCTGTACCTAGGAAGGGTCTCCATCCAGATTATCTCAGCCAATTCTCTGCCCCAGTCTGGGATAAGGGGGCTGCTGTGGGGCCAGGTGACCAAGACTGAGAGGGGTCACTGAACTTGTGGAGCAGTTAGAAACGTGGGCCCTGGAGCTTAGGCTATGAGCACAGGACACTTGCCTCTTAAGCCTGTGTTCTGTGTCTCTGCTGAGCATGGTGCACTGTGCGTGAGAACAAATGCAGATGTGGGGCTGTGGGCAGGGCTGCCACATTCTCCCTGCGGGAGCATTTTGCAGTCACAGCTGCATCCATGCTGCCTCCTTCACTTGCCGGCTCCTGAACATTGGTGTCCACAAAGCTGGATGAGCCACATGTCACAAGATGTGCTAGTTGACTAAATGTGTCTTTGGAGGGCAGGGGAAGATGGCTCAGTGGTTAAGAGCACTGACTGCTCTTGCAGAAGACCTGGGTTTGATTTCCCAGCCCTCACATGGCAGCTCACAACTGTCTGTAATTCCAGTTCCGGGGCATCCCATGCCCTCTTCTGGCCTCTGAGGATACTGTACACATAACTGTACAGACAAGCATGCAGGTAAAACACTCATACATATAGAATAAATTTTAACATGTCTTTGTTGATGTTTTTAAGCAAATTCACAGGCAATTTCTTCTACAACTTTATGATGGGCATTGAGTTCAACCCCCGCATTGGGAAGTGGTTTGACTTCAAGCTGTTCTTCAATGGACGCCCAGGAATTGTGGCCTGGACCCTTATCAACCTGTCCTTTGCTGCCAAGCAACAGGAGCTTTATGGTCATGTGACCAACTCTATGCTTTTGGTCAATATCCTGCAGGTAACTTAGTGTGCTTACAGCCAGGGAGGGTGGGGCTTTGCACCTGCTGGGCTCTGGGAGTGTTCCCAGCATGCCATCTGTTCTGAGCTGGTTCCAGGTAACAGTGAGCACATGCTGAGAATCTACCATTACATAGATGCCTGTGCCCCCGTGTTAGCCCCAGGAGGGACAGGGTAGACACCATACAGTCTGGCCTGCAGTCAGGCTCCCTTAGGGACTGCACTCAGATAGGATCTGGGAGTACGGGGGCTTTGTTAACCAGCTAGAGAAGGGACCATAGGCGTGGTTCAGGCACAAACAGTGGCCTGTGTAGTCTGCATAGTGGGAGAGGTTAAGACACTGAGGAAAGGCCTCTGTCCAAAGCATTGAGAACTGGGGAGTTTATGGTCAGGTAAGACCAATATAGGCCCTTTTGGGGATTTCCATCCACTTCTAAGTAGTTATCACTCAGGAGGCTGCAGCAGGAGGATTGTTGTGAGTTAGAGACTGCCTGGGTGCTACATATTTAGTTTGGAGAGCTGCCTGAACCAGGAGGTGAGATCCTATTTTAAGAACAGCAACAAGACTTAGGAGATGACTCTGTGGTTGAAGCACTTGCCTAAAAGCATGAAGACCAGGGTTAGGGTCCCCAGAAGCCAAGTCAATGCTGGGTGGGTCTGGTGGCCCCGCTTGTAATCCTGCCTCAGAAGGCAGTGGCAGGGGATCCCAAGAGCAGGCTGACTAATGAGACTAACATACCAGTGAGCTCTGGGTTTGACTGAGAGACCTTGCCTCAGTGAAGAAGGTGGAGGACTTCAATCTTTGGCCACACACACACACACACTTGTGCACACATGCAATCACAGACAGGCACGTGCACCCACATATGTTTGTGCCCACACGTGTACCACATAAAAAATATGTGCAAAGAGAAAAAAAAAAATTTTAAAAAGTAGTGAGAAAAAATGCCCAGTGGTGTTGGGATGTGGCCTGGATGTGGTATGTCCAGCAGGGCTTCAGGGTGCCAGGTGGGAGGAAGAGGAGGAAGAGACCAACAGGAAGCCATGGGCACAGCTTAGGCTGGCTGACTGTGCTGGAGTGGGACCAGACTGGATGGGGTAGGTCCCTGCCTTCCACCGGTGGGCTCTGGTCATTTGCACTTATGGACCCGAGGAGTGGGTGATGTGGCCGGGACCTCAGGGAGGGGTCTTCTCTATGGTCTTCCATGAAGCTCCTCTTGTCCTGGGACATAGAGCTAGATGCAGAAGAGACCCACTTTTCCACAGAGCACTGGGGTCTGGGCACCTCAAGCCAGCTTTTTGTCACAGCCAAGGCTCGGGATGCTGGGACTGTGCTAGGCAAATGTTGTGGGCAAATCCCAGCATGCCTGTGTGAGGTGCCACTCCCCCTTTATAAGGGATCGGCTAGGGCAGGGTGCTCTGAAACTGTTGCTTATGCAGGTAGCCATGAGTTGAGTCTCTGGAAGACTCTCTGTGTCTCAGGCTCATGACCTCATGTGCTCTTGAGTGACAAGCAGGATCTTTGCTGTTTGCCTATCTCTGTGAATGGACCTCAGTCTCCTTGGACACATTGGGGGTGTCATTCTGAGGGGCAGCGGACCGCAGCTAAACCTGGGACACTCACCCTGTGGATGTCTTTGTTGGTGTCTATCACTCAGGAACAGTCCTTGAGTCCTTCTATCCTGAGTCACCTCTGCTGAACTCCACATCTCATGTCACCTATGGGAGCTATGGGTGGGAGCCCTTTCTACTGATGGGCAGTGGCCCCTCCACCCCACTGATTGCTCCCAACCCCACAGTAACCAAGCTGCTTAGCAGTATCCCGACTGCCCATCCCTCCCTTGCATGGGGCTGTGGTGGTAACAGTGGTGGCTCTGTCTTGCAGGCCATCTACGTGTTAGACTTCTTCTGGAACGAAACCTGGTACCTGAAGACCATCGACATCTGCCATGACCACTTTGGGTGGTACCTGGGCTGGGGTGACTGTGTATGGCTGCCCTACCTCTACACGCTGCAGGTGAGGAGCCAGGGCGGTGGGACAGGGCGACCAGCCTCATTGCCTGTGTTGTCTTCAGTTGCTCCTGGCTGACCCTGAGCAGACACACATGCTGAGCTTGCCAGGGTGTTAGTCCCTGGAGCTCCCTGGACCAGTGTCGTCTCCCATGAGGGGGAAGTTCCTCGTGTCACAGATATGCTTGACCCATCATGGGATCTGGTTCCCACTTCACCCACTCTCCACTGGAAGTACCATAAGTACAAAGTGTGCTTAGGGGGCTGGAGAGATGGCTCAAAGGTTAAGAGCATTTGACTGCTCTTCTAGAGGTCCTGAATTCAATTCTCAGCAACCACGTGGTGGCTCACAACCATCTGTAATGGGATCAGATTCAGGTGTGCACGAAGACAGAACACTCATATACATAAAATATATGAGTAAATAAATCTTAGAAAAAAAGTACTCAGTGGTGTTTCAAGAACACAGTACATTTTTTTTAAAAGTGTGTTTAACACACCTGACCTGCCAACTGTAGCTTAGCCTTGCCTTCCTAATGCACACATGGTCACAGCTGGACAAAGTTAGCCCACGTAAGGCTTGGAGAGCTGCTGAGAACCGTACAGAAATTGAGCAGTAGAGGGGGTGGAATGGCTTTTGAAGCATTTTAGGCTGAACCATTGTAGCCACCTGTAGTTGGCCTGGGATGACCTGGGATTGCACCCATGTGAGCATGTCCTTAGTCATCCCTGCAGTCGGGGCAGAACCCCAACTCAACCAGACAAGATGGAGCCGTCCAGACAAGATGGAGCCGTCAGGGTGGCCGGCAGTGGCTCTAGCTGGGCTGGATGTCTTAATCCCCACCCTTTGGCTATGTTGGCACCGTGGTACTAGTGCATGCAACTGCTCATCAGAGGTCGGAAGGAGTTCAGAGCAGCACAGAAGGCTGTTGTTGGTCTTTCCAGGCGGCCATCAGTGAGGTGGGCCTCTGGCAGCTGGTCGCGGAGCTGATGGTGACATAGGCTGTGGAAGGGGCCTGGCTACCTGTGCAGGGGTGCTGGGAAAGCAGTTGTGCCCAGCGAAGGGGAGGGGTGGAGGGTAAGGGCGTGGACAGGTTCTAGCCCCAGACTTACACTGACTGCAGGTCCTCACCAGCCGTGAGCAGCTCACGTGGTCAGGGTTTCCACTGATTGGGCACCTGTTCATGGGTCACCCCCTTGTATCTGCAGTGCCAGTGTATGAACTGGTAGCAGAGACTGCGCTTACACAAGTTTTTCCATCTAGCAGGCCTTGTTTCAGCCTCAGGATACAGTGGCTTCTGCAATGAGGGGTCCATAGATTAAGACAAACATGCATTGGAAGAATTTTTTTAAAAACTTGCTGCTGGGCCTTCTTGGACACCATGTGATCCCGGCTCTTGGGAGGTTGAGGTAGGAGGATCAGGAGTTCAGAGTCACCCTCAGCTACGTAATGAGCTCAAGGCCAGCTTGGGCTACATGAGACTATATCAAAACAAACAAACAAACTGTGTGCTGAACGGACATGGAGTTTTTTCTGTGTCAGTATTCCCTAAATAGTGTGGTCCAGCAATCGTTTGCTGAGCCTTTACATTTTGTTTTCAAGGCAGGGTTTCTCTGTGTACCCTTGGCTGTTCTGTAACTCGCTCTGTAGCCCAGGTTGGTCTTGAACTCACAGAGGTCCTCCTGTCTCTGCCCCCCAGTGCTGGGATTAAAAGCGTGTTCCTGCTCTGCCACCACCTGGCCAGCATTTATGTTTTAATAGGCTCCCCATACACAATTCCACATTTCTGTTATTTAGTATATTGTAGATAATGAGGTTAATCTAGAAGTGACTTCACGTTTATAGCAGGATGTGCACAACCCTGTGTAGTGTAGACCAATACTACATTGTCCCTTGTTCTTTTGTTATCTTAGATTTCTTTTTCATTGTCAGTGTGTTTGTTTATGCCCCCAGAATCCAGGGGCTCTAGAACCTCTGGCATTGGAGTTCCAGGCAGTTGTAAGCTGCCTCGCATGGATGATGGGAACCAAATCTGGTCCTTTGTAACTGCCGAGCCATCTCCCCAGACCTGTTTTTGTTACTTTGAGGTAGTCTGCCTGCCCTGCAGCCAAAGCTGGCTGGACTCACCATGAAGTGAAGCTGGCCTTGAGCTACAATCCTCCTGCCTCAGCCTGAGTACTGGGATACCACATCTGTTATATACCTGTATCATATGAAGGGATTGAGCACCATGGAGTTTGGGTGTCCATGGGAGCATACTGGAACCCGGCCTTTGTGTTCTGGGGCATAGGCATATGGCTTTGAGATGTGTATATATATAGATGCACTCTTATTCTGTATTTGTGTCTGGGGTCTCTTGAGGAACATGGGTCCTGGGAGGCCCCAAACTTTTCAGTGGGGGTCTGGAAGCCAGGAGAGGGCTGTTGTTGCAGTTCAAAATAAAAGATTGCATACTGGCAGCACCCCCCTTTCCCAAGGGGGGCTGGTTTGAATGTATTGAATGTAGTCCCCCCACATTGTGGGTGTTCATCTGCTTTGCTCAGTGCTTGTTTAAATGTTAATCTCAACTGGAGAAAGAACCTCAGGGCTTAAGAGTGTGTACTGTGACATCAGGAGGACCAGAGTTCAGATCCCAGCACCCAGAGAACAAACTGGAGTTCTGTTCATGCCTGTAACCATAGAGCAGAGACAAAAGGATGACTGAGCCTTTTTAGCCCCTAGCCTAGCCAAGGAAACTTGAGCCCCAGGTTCAGGGAGAGACCCAGCCTCAAAGGAGAAGGTGGAGTGTGACAGAGGACACCAGACGCTTTCTTCTGTCTGGTTGAGTCGTGTGTGCTCAGGTACATATGCATGCACATACAATAAACAAGTAAATGCTAGTCTCCTCCACAACTTAGGGTTGATCACATATGTGCACAGTGGTCTGCCCAAGCTGATAAATAGAACCAATTTTCGTCGCAGTATATTCAGATCATCTTACATGTTGTGTAGTTTACTTCTGTACAGTATGTGGTTTACCAACTCCAACCAGTGGTGATCCCAAGACAGCTTTTAGCCCTTATGATGATACAAACACGGTTGTCTTCATGGCACAGAAGGCAGCAACTGCAGAACCATGAGAAAACAGTACACCCTAGGGCCTAATTGCATGTGTGTGCCATGGGTGTATTCTCTCGCCCTTCCTCCTCCCTTCCCTCCCCCCCCCCCCCCCCCCCCCCCCCCCCCCCCCCCCCCCCCCCCCCGTCTCCCTCTGCTTGCCAGTCCTTGGAGTTGAACCCTGGACCTTGTGCATGCTAAGCAACTGCCACATCTTCTGCCCTCCCTTCTTGCTCATTTTGAAACAAGGTCTGATGCTGTTTCAGTAAACGGTCCAAGCAGGTCTTGAACTGCGGTCCTCCTGCCTCATCCCCCTGAGTCCTGGGATTCCAGGTGTGTGCCACTATGCCTGGCTCTGTGTGTCTTACTTAACAGAAAAGGAAACGTGTGTCTGGAGCAGGGCCAGGGTCTACCCTCCTCAGGCCACACTGAAGCCCACTGCGCTCCATGATGGGCTACCCTTCACCTCTCCCCTCTTACCCTCTCTCCCCACAGGGCCTGTACTTGGTGTACCACCCTGTTCATCTCTCCACTCCCAATGCTGTGGGCATCCTGCTGCTTGGCCTGGTGGGTTACTATATCTTCCGAATGACCAACCATCAGAAGGACCTGTTCCGCAGGACAGATGGGCGCTGCCTCATCTGGGGCAAGAAGCCAAAGGCCATCGAGTGCTCCTACACATCAGCCGATGGGCAGAAACACCGCACCAAGCTGTTGGTGTCAGGCTTCTGGGGTGTGGCCCGTCACTTCAACTATACTGGTGACCTGATGGGCAGCCTAGCCTACTGCCTGGCGTGCGGTGGCAACCACCTTCTCCCCTACTTCTACATCATCTACATGACTATCCTGCTCACCCACCGCTGCCTCCGTGATGAACACCGCTGTGCCAACAAGTATGGCCGTGACTGGGAGCGCTACACGGCCGCAGTGCCCTACCGCCTGCTGCCTGGAATCTTTTGAGGACCATCCTGGGATGCATAGGGAGGTTTTTATTGAGTGTGTGGAGTTGGATGCTTGGGGGCTGGCATCCTGGCTTCCCCTGCAGGGGCATCAGTTTGCTCATCTGGAGAATGGAGAGCCTGGTGCCCAGCAGTGTCTGGCTGGTGGCAGCTAGGAAGCGGAGTTCACACTGATCCCCCAGCAGGCTGTTTTCTCTACTCAGCATCCTGAGGGCAGACTATCGTGGCCCTTTCATGTCTGTCTTTATGTTGGGTGCCCGCAATCTATGCTGCCCAGATGGTTTAGGCTTATCATGCGTGTCCTAGGATTGGGCCAACCTATTAAACTGGAGACAATGTGGGATCTAAGGATTTTGATAATGCCAACCTTCCCCTTCTGTTCTGCCATGCTAGGCTGGGCCCCTGAACCATTTTTGTCTGTAGGCGTGTGTAGTCTTCATTAGCAGAGGGCTCAGAGGCCATTGTAGGAGGAAGGCTTTCTGTTTGGGTTCTTGTTTCTGATTCTTAACCCCAGGAATGCCAGGCAGTGGAACGGGGTATCCAGGGGCACTGCCCACTTCACAGTGGGCATCCTGGCTAATCGGTTAAAGTCTTTGTGACATAAGACAGGGTTTCTAGGGCTGGAGAGATGGCTCAGAGGTTAAGAGCATTGTCTGCTCTTCCAAAGGTCCTGTGTTCAATTCCCAGCAACCACGTGGTGGCTCACAACCATCTGCAATGGGGTCTGGTGCCCTCTTCTAGCCTGCAGGCATACACACAGACAGAATATTGTATACATAATAAATAAATAAATAAATACTTTAAAAATTTTTTTAAAAAAAGACAGGGTTTCTAATACAGGACTCCCTGAGTACCCACCCACCTAGCAGCTCAGCCCCCTGCCCTCTTCCAGAAAGTGCTTCTGTTCACCCCAAGACACTTGGTTCAGGGGTAAACAGATTTGGATTAGACAACCCAGAATGTATCACCAGCCAGTGGCCTCAGCCACACCTTCCCCAACAGGAGTTCCAGTGTTGGGAAGGGCACCCATTCTCATTTGGGACAATTGGCCCCTAAAACTCAGGGCATTCTGTAAAACTAGATAGGATCCTCTTCACCTTGCAGATAAGTCTTTGTATTAAATCTACCTTTTTAAATGTGTCACATTGTGCTGTCTCCTGAATGGGCCTGACCAGTTCAGGGGTGGGGGTGGGGTGTTATGTGGTATAGGATGGAACCCCAGGAAGTATTAGAGCTGGTGCATAGGGCACTATCAAAGCTTCATTGACATTGGGGTGAACTGTGCCCCAATACTCTGTAATAATACCTCATCATTCCAGAACTTTGCCGGATCATTTACTTGTTGGGGTGAGGAATCCATTCCATTTGCCAGTGACAGGATGCTAGCGTGGCTACCTGCTCCAAACAAGTGGAGGAGCCACATAGCTGAGCCCTCACTTTTGTTTCTGGAGAAGCAGAGGTGAGTAGTGCCCACAGCCCGGGCACAATTGTTCTGCTTCTGGTTAGAGCTGGTTAAACATTGGCAGCTGTTCCTGGAGAGAGAGCCGGAGAGTCCACCAGCCTAACTTGGTGCTCTCCTGGCCTGTCTGAGAATGTGGACACGGGGGTTTCAGGCATCTCTATTGGCCACACATTGGCACTTTCATTTGTCCCTTGAACAAAGTCCTAACTGGAGGCTGGGGTGTGGTGGCTGTAAACTTAGATACCAGGTTCCACTGTTCACATGGGAACTCTGGCTCTGCCTTCTGAAGGCTTTAAAGCCTTGAGTAGGTAACCCACCCTCCCGTGGCTTCAACATCCTCATTTGTGTGGGCTAAAGGTCAGAGTTCAGTCTTCCTTATTGCTGGAGAAAGGTTTCAAGCTCATATGGCAGGAGGCCTGAGTTCGAATGTCGGTAGTGCTTGTCAGTTGACTATGATTCTAGTTTGTTTTAGCCTGGGAGCCCAGCTGTGGTTTGGGGCTTTGGTGTGTGGTGCCTTCACATCTGGTGCTTGAAGACTGTTGGGCTGTGGGCTGCTGCTCCCAGAGCACTGTCCGCTGTGGGCCTGTCTGTCCTGCCTACCCTGCCGTTGGCAGATGAAGCCCATACTTTGCTCTCTGAAATGAAGATAAGTAAGCCACAGAGCCCAGGACCTAAACCGTGTCAGCCTTTGCCACTCCTCAGCTACAGTTCTCAGTAGGGCCTCAAACCAGGCTTTTCATGGTACTTCCAATGTGAGACCAGCCGAACTGTGCTCTGGGCGGAACCACCCGGCAGTCTCCTCACATCCCATCAGGCATCCGACAGACCCAGACACATTGAGTGTTAGAAACCATGAGCAAGATCACAGTAGCTGGAGTGGTCATTTGTCCTGTGTCCCTTGAGATAAAAGCAGGATCTACCCTGCTGTCTCCAGTGACGGGGTGAAGACACCTCCAGATTTGTTTCCAACAGATCCTCAGAACACAGCAGAGTAACACTCCATGTTCCTGGGAGCGCTCTGGTTACACAGACCTGTGACAACATTGGGTTACTCAAATGAATCTATGGGATGAGGGATTGAAGCAGCTTGCCTTGAAAAACGTTCCTGGCTGGTAGCTGAGACCAGGTTTAATGGTAGGTGTCTTCATTCCAGCCCCACTGCAAGGGATGGGCCCGGAGACCTGGGGCCGAGTCCACGAAATTACAGATGTATACTCTCATGCTTGCCTAGCTTCTGGATTAGAAATGCTTTTAAATGTTTTTTTTAGGTTTATTATTTTTATTTTATGTGTATGAGTGTTTTGCCAGTACATAATGTGTCTTAGGATTTTTATTGCTGTGAAGAGACACCATGGCTACAGCAACTCTTATAAAGAAAACATTTAATTGGGGTGGCTCACAGTTTCGGAGGTTCAGTCCCTTATCATGCTGGAGAGCAGCGTGGCATGCAGGCAGACACACTGGAGCTGAGAGTGCCAACATCTTGTGGAAAACAGGAAGTCAACTGAGACACTGGGCAGTATCCTGAGCAGAGGAAACCTCAGAGCCTGCCCCCCAGTGACACACTTCCTCCAGCAAGATTATACCTATTCCACCAAAGCCACACTGCCTAATGGTGCCACTCCCTATGAGATTATGGGGGCCAGTTACATTCAAACTACCACAGTACGTAAGAGCAGAGTGGATGGTGCCCAGAGGCCAGAAGAGGGAACTGGATTCACTGTAACTGGAGACGGTTGTGAGCTGCCACATGGGTGCTGGGAACTGGACTCCAGCCCTCTGAAAGAGGGACCAGTGCTCTTAACCACTGAGCTATTTCTTCAGCCCCTGGTCTAAAATATTTTTAAAAGAATCAGTTAGTCCCTTGGGAAGCTGAGGATAGGGAACCTGAAATGACCCTATCCTATAGCAATACTGACGAATATCTTTCATATCACCATAGAACCTTCATCTGGTGATGGATGGAGATAGAGACAGAGACCCACACTGGAGCACTGGACTGAGCTCCCAAGGTCCCAATGAGGAGCAGATGGAGGGAGAAC